GAGGTGAGCCAGGACGAAGGCAGTTAATTGTCATGAAAGGCGCAACTGAACAGGAGAGCCAGGTGGTCATTCAGAATGCACATTAATTGAGAGTATGTCACAGAGTCAGTGCCTGTGGCATCGGAATGGGCTGTGCATTTGAGGTAGGCTTTGACTGCAGCAATATTCTGTACTGTGATGTTCAGGTTGAAGTCAGGATGAGAAGATGGAGGCAACAGTCAGGTGGGTTCATGTGGGGAATGAAGCAGTCTGTGAGCTGGTCGATGGAAACCTTAGTGGAGGAGCAACTGGGGCTCCTGCAATGTTTCCAGAAGGCAGCATCACAAAGGTGTTTAAGAGAAGTGTCTTGAAGGTGATGCTGGAAGGATTGACGGTGATGAGAACTGGAAGAGTCCGCAGGAGGTGGTTGCTGAGAAGAGTTGTGCATTGGCACAATGAGATGTGGGTCGGGAAGAGAGGTGGATACTTTGTGTATGTTGGTGAGAGTTGAGGGGAGGAAAAGTGGGGGAGTGGCCAATGTGGAGAAGTTCAAGACAGAGAATGGGGGAGGCAGAGGTAAAGAGGTGCCACACTTGGCCAGACAATCAGCTGCATCATTGTGAGCATTGCCTGAGTGAGCTCAAACATGGGAGAAGTGGATGGGTGCAGAACGGGATGCGACCCATTGGGCAATGACCTTAAGGATGTCACTGTTCTTGCAATCCCATCTGCATTGTGCATTTTCACTTGCATTGTGAGTTAGCAATTGAATTGAATAGGTGGAGTCAGTGAGGATATTGAGTGAACACTTTGGCAGAGAGCATTGAATAGTGGCAAGGATAACGTACAGCTCCACACAATTATTGCATTGAGGACTGGGGACATGAGCAGTAAGATTGAGAGGGTGGTTGGGGTGGTAGTAGATTCCAAGGCCTGCACGTGCAGAGGGTGTGTTGCTGTTGATGCAGGAGCCATCAGTGTATACCTTCAGAGGAGAAGAGTGTGATGAGTGGTGAGCATGACCATAAACCTCCAAGAGCATGTCATGAAGTGATGGCGGCTCTGAGTTGAGGATCTTGTCATGAAGTACATAGCCCCTATCATTTTCCTTTTCTCACCGTCTTGATGCCCTTACTTGTACAATTACATCACTGTCAAATCCCATTGATTACTGATCCACCTGTTACCCTTCTCCTTCTACTGGCTTCCACCACCTTCCTTGTTCCTAAACTGTACAGTATTACATTGTCATTTCTCACAGATCGGATTATGTATATAAAGCCAGTCCCTCACAGCCTGGTCCCTCATCTTGACCTCTCTGTCATTATCTGGGACCAGGTATGTGCTTACTTATTATTACCTATGACTATGATACTCAATATATCTCTGTCATTATCTGGGACCAGTTTGCCTCCGCTCCACTTAGTCGCTCCGCCTCACTGCCTTGCTTAGTCACTCCGCCTCTGCCGCTTTGTGACAACTTCGAACTAATTTTTCTTTTTGCCACCGCATGGCCTGTTCATTTTCAGTTTCTAGCGAGATGACATTATTATATATACAAAAAACCAAAAAATACAACAAGGTGGCAAGAAAGCAAGAAGGCTACAAGAAAAGGCCGAGAGCCAAAGTTCGATGTCCGTAATCTACTCTACTCTTCCCTCTCCAACTGCGCCGGCTCCTCGTCTACTTCCTCTTCTTCTTCCCTTCCCTTCTCTCTCTCCTCTTCCTCCTCCTCCTCGCTGTCTACCACCCTTCTCTGCTTCCTCAGCAATTCTGATGGACCAGTCGCTGGCATTTTGGGAGGCAATCTCCTCCATCTGGCTGTGTCCGTCATCAACCAGTCAAGCTTCCTATTGAAGTGGCAATGGTAGGTGTTTGCCTTCACCTGACCCTCTGAAGCTGCCGGTTATCAGCGGGTACCTGAGCCATTTGGCTCTCCAGGACAGCCAAACGCTCACCAATAGGGTGGGAGCTCCCCTCCTTTTTCACTATCGATGGACGGCCGGAGTACATGCATTGTACCTTAGCGTCGTGACAGGGTTTACAAATCACAGAGCTCCTCTTGCCAGCCTGCATCTGACAAGGGATTTTCTTGCTCTTGCACTGCTCGCAGGGTGCCTGCTCTTCTTTATCATCATTGTCATTGTCCCCATTGCTGCCGTCATTGGGGTCCTCACCCACGGGCTAAAAAAGTAGAAGTCAATAATGAACTGGCTATTGGTAAGGAACACAGGACATACCTGGGCCTTTGCCTTACCCTTACCCTTCGGGATCTCCACCACGGGCCTCCTCGGAGAAACGGATACCTCACTAGGAGAGGTACCCCTCTGACTCCTTGCTGTCACCGCGGTGGCCAACAGCCTCCTCCTCTTGTTGTTGTGCCCTGAGGGCCCACTTCTGCGCCGCCTTCTTTCTCACTTCTGCTGCCCTTGCAGCCTCTTCCTTGGCCTTCCTCTTTGCTGCCTCCGCTGCCTTCCTCGCTTTCACTCTTCGAACCCATTCTTGCACCCTCCGCAGGATCTCTTCTTCGTTGTCCTCATGGTTGGCAGGATTGGCGGGAGCTGGTGGAATAGGGCGAGACATTGAAGGGCCGGCGGTGGAAGTGGTGGTAGTGGTTTGAGTACGGTTGGCGGACATGTTGGACTTAGAAGTTTTGGAAAAGTTAGGCCCACAGCGGTAAAACCCTGGCCCTTTTATAGGGACAAAACGGTGCACAGACCAGCTAAAATTTTCCTTCGAATTGTGTTCAGTTTATGGTGACAGAAAATTTTTCCTTGACTAATAATTATTGATGGGATCAATTTCAGTCTTTTCAGTCTTATGGTCTTATCGGCTTTCAAGGGCTTAAGCCTAAGAGGGGGATACTGTCAAGTCCATGCCTTGGTGCCCCACTTTGCCACTTGGTATCCTGAGATCCACTGTTTATTGTAATCTCATTCTTATTGTTCTTTCTCACTACACATTCCCTTTCTACCTAGGCTCTTCCTTATTGTTTTATGCTCTCCTTTATTGTCTTATTCTCTACCCTGCAGGTACTATATGTATAGCTCCTAGTAGTTAGTCTGGTGCTCCGCTCCGATGCACCGATCCATAGATATAAATACTCCAGTACTGTATCGTAGTTCCTCAGTTTAATTATCAACTTAGATTCTCCTCATCAATTTAGATTATCCTCTTAACGTCCTTGACTTGAGACTACCTCTGATCTCTTGTCTCTCTCTAGTCTTCAGGCTCATTGCCTTGAAGTACTCTCTACTCTATCCTCAGGACTCACAAGTCTTTTGGTTTGCTCCTCATCATGGGCGTTACTGTCTCTCCGACTTGGCTGCTCCTGGCTCTCTTCCTTCTCTACTCTCGATCTCCAGGGACTAACAGCATAATGGCGGTGTTGTTAATAACTTCACTACTGTCCCACTCGACCTTCCACCCTTAGACACCTTGTGGCTTCCGGCATGGCTTCACGGTGTACATGATCTTAACACTAGGCAATTGAGATTGGTTACTAATGGGGCTAGGGTGTTGTACATAGCCGGGGAGGTCACTAGTCTCTAAGAAGATGGTAACGCTGCATCCTGGGAGCTTCTGTGGGTACCAGAGAGTGGGGGTATAAGGAGGTAGTGTGAGGAATGGAGGTATGAACAGGTAGTGTGGTTGAGGGAGGTTGCTGGGGAGCTGCTGAGGAGCTTGGGGATAATGCAAAGTGGGTTGGAGCATGACATGGTTGAGTTAATTCAAGCTATTGGGAGATGGGCATCTGAATCCTTCAAAGTACATCAGAACACACCCGGTACTACTCACTGCCTTACTTTTCTCACAACAACCATCCACTTCTTGATATCACTCCTCCTCATCATCAACCTTTCATCATTTAGCCTTTTACCCATACTGTTGCTTGTCAATCTATTTTCTTCTGCAGGGTACAACCACTGTATTCAGGGTTGTACTTGTGTCCACCTAAAAAACCTCATGCATTTCTCAAGTAGCAACAAAAACAATGCCTCTGTTGATTACATCTGCAAAACCTGTATTTTCGGCTAAGGGTCTGAAAGCGGTTGAGAGCACTTCCCAGCAGTGAAAGCACCCAAAGCATGTTGCTTTTGGTGCTTTCAGCACTGGGATCTGCTTTCAGCCCTTAGCCGAATATCCAGGTTTTGCAGATGTAGATGGCTTTTTTTGCCAAAAGTTTCCCACTCATTTTCACAGGCAGGAAATCTTGCAGTGGCACTGGTGTATAGTTCCTCTTGGTCCCTTGCTAAATTAGAAACACAACACAAAAATTTTTCACCTCAGATGAAAGAAGCAAAAGACAGATGCTGGATACACTGCGCCGGGATCAATAATTCCCGGCCGAGAAAGTGGCAGAGAAAGTTTATGGGAAAGATTTCCTTTTTAGGTAGATTTCCTCATCGAAAGAATACATAAATCACCAGCGCAAAATTTTATGCAAATTATTTACTTTGTCAGTAACTTTCCTGACATACAAATTTAGTGAAATCTGTTAACTTTTACGGTCAGGAACACAAATTTTTCCTAGTTTTAATCCAAAGATAGAAAGGAGCTGAGGTTAATTTCCTTTCTCAGAATAATTTCCTGGTGGTAAACGTCATTTTTCTCACCTGGAAAATGTTTTGGTAATTATTTTATTTTACTTTTGGGAATTATTGATTTTCCCAGACAAGAAACAAATTGGGCGAAAGGCGGAAGATTCTTACCCGGCATAAACCCGGTATACCTTCGCCAACCGCAAGCTTAGTGAGCGATTCCGACTTTGGGGCGAGGGTCAGGAGATTTCTACCCCGAGGAATGGGAAAGGGTACATATCAAAGTGGGAAGAGTGAGATAAATATCTAGAACATGTAAATACTGCCACAATCCAACCAACTCTGACCCAGCAGGTGTTCGTATTCGTAGTCATCGTGCGTTGGTGTATAATCGGTCTTTGATCAGTCTGAATATTTTGGCACAAGAGATAGCATTAGACTAGTACAGCAGTTTCTCATCATACCGTGTACAATACATCATTATTCATCATAGAATGTGAAAGGCTGATGAGAGACTACAACACCAAAATGAGAAGATATCGGAAAGACGCTCAAGTCCCATTGCGTGCTAGGGCGCAAATGACAATTGGTGACAAAAATGATTTGTGCCATGCGATGAGGAAACACACGAGTGGGATCCAATCTTGCTATCTGACCGTCTATAAGTCGAAATCGAGCCTCGTAAAAAGAATGAGACATGTCGGTCGCCCATTTGAAAGTGATAGTTTCAATTTCTGGCGCGCGAATTGTATCCAGGAGCCATTTCGAAGGACAAAGGAGGAACGTCAACACAAGATGTTTCAAAGAAGATAGCTGAATGGGGGCTGTCTGGAAATGTTCTATAGTGGATGTTAGTCTCGAATTCAAAACATCATAGGGTGAAGTTAACCTACCAAACTGTGTCCAGGACGAACGCGGGTCAAACGCCTGACAAAATTCAAGCCTTAAAAGACTATGCGACACGATAGGGAGAATAATCTGGGCGGCGGCAGGACATCCGACTACAAGAACCCGAAGAGCATGAAGATCAAAAGGACAGTTGTGGTCCTCCAACCATCTGTATTCAGAATCCCGAGGGCCCTTTGTGCAAGCTGTAGTTGACACCTGGGGGGACTCTCGTTCACTCGAAGGAACAAGCTGCAGGAATTGAAGCTGCGGCCGATCCTCGACATTGGGCAATTCAAGAGCCAATCGGCGAAAGGCATCGTCGGCATCATCGGCGTGGTTCTGGCGCAACTCACTGCCCGACCAGTGAACAGGGGGTAGCGACAACTGGCGAAGCCGTTTGCAATTGCCAAGGGATTTCAGGATGGTACAGAAGGAAGGATATGGCAACACGACAAAATCGCGGAAGATGAAAATCTCGAGATTGAGACGAAAAGTGAATATGAGTTGATTCGTGTATTCCGAAGACATTGGTGGACCCAGAGTAGAGGTTCCATAAAACTCGAGAGTCCTTACATTCGTTGGTGCAGCACGAAAGTGAGTGAAGGGATAGTACGGGTCACCGATGATATGCCGAACATAGCGTATACGATGGGGATAATCCTGCAATTCCACAAGTTTTTTTTGATCTTTCCTGAGGTCCAACGTCTCGAAAATGAACGATTTAGCTTCCTCCCTCCATGAACTACAGACCTGCATGCAGGCCAAAAGTTCCGCCTCTTTCATATGAGACAGGCATTCACTGACCAATTCGACACAGGTAGAGGAAAGAGGCATTAGGTCTTCCGAGGTGGATACAGCACAAAGGGAAAACCTGGGTTGAACGAAGGGAGCCCCTTTTAAAAAAGCGATCATGCATATCCGAGCAACAAAGAGAGCTGATGATTTCATGCCACCCATTTTCCACGAGGTAAGCCACGAAGTGATTATAAGGAATTATGATACTCAAAGGAGATACATATCCTCTCTGGGCATTCCTATTCATCGGGAATTTGGCGATTGGAGGTGTTAAAAATGAGGAGTGTTGGGAAAAGGACTGGGATGAGGGAACACACAAAATACATAAGGTTGGATCAGATGAGACCTTACAATAGAGATGTTGGGACTAACCAATTGCCAGAAAGATAAAATCTCCCGGTTTTTTCAGGGCGACGAGTCGACAACGAAGCAACTAATAAATGGAGATAAGCGCCGAGAAACCGCTGGCGCCAACGCCCAGTCTATTGCAAGTCCCCTGGCTTCTCATCTCTTCAGTTGCACCAAGAATGCTACGTCGAGGTCATCATAATGCCCATACCTGTGCTGGGCTGGTTCTGAATATACACGGACATACACTGTACAACAGTCATATATTAAATCCAGCAGTAAGGTACAATGTAAACATAGAGGGACCGTAACATCAGAAAGAAGAAGATTGAGCATACAGCATACGTATATAATAAGTCTGCCTAATCTAATCATCAATTGAAATGGGAAACGGGGCAGGTGCAGCAGCAGAGGCTGCGGTGGGATAAGTTCCATTGCGGCGGGGAAAGGGGAATGTCACAGGTCCTGATCGGAATGCATGCGGCCACTGAAGTGGCTGACGGGTAGGAGTGGGGATACCTTTGATCTCCAACATGTCGTCGACACTTTTCTGGATGGAATAGTTGGGGATGGGGGTAAAATGACCTTGGATTGTGCGGCAACTGGGGCAAGCAAGGTTGTATTTGGCCCTGAGATGGATGCGAGACATCGTGAGAAGGCAATCCTTGCAGAAGGTATGCCCACAGGAGAGACTATTTGAAACAAGGCGTGAGTGTCAAATGTCAATGAACTCTGGCAATACGCACATAAAAGGCTGCAGCATTAGTTCCAGGCAACATGGGCAGTCATTCCGCTCTTTTATGACATCATTCAAAGCTTGAATGCGGGTCTGAGCATTCTGTGTATCAATTCAGCCAAATGGATTGCGTGCTTGGAAAATTTACAAGAGCGAAATACCTGGAGCGCATTTTCAGGAGCGGGGTTGGTTTGAAGTTCTCCATTCAGTCTGACATCCTGCAAAGGCTTCGGTTCAACTGGAGGATTCTACAATGGCAACTTCACAATTGAGAGTCACGAAGAAAAAGTAAACTGATCGCGTACCATCGAAATAAACACCGGCTCGTCATCATCGTCGGATTCCAGGTTCAAGTTATTCACCTATGTAAAAGAATGTTGTTATAGGCAGGCCTAGGGTCATAACAGGAAAAGCACTCAAACCTCGCGTGTGCTTGTATTTGGAGGGCATGGGGTCGGAGTAGAATCGCGGGGAGGTGTAGCCGGAAGGATTACTGGTTCTTCATAATCCAGTGTTAAGCTGAGGAGATGATAGGTTGAGGGCACCGAAGAAGATGCGAGCGGATGATTGCGGTGTGAGGGAATGCTCGGAGTCGATACAGCGCGGCGTGAAGAGGGGGTATTTGGACCAAGACGGCTTTGTGATTTCCTTCCATAAGTTCGAACAGGACGAGGAGAAGGCCGTCCGAAGATATGAGACCTTGAGGATCGGTCAGGAGTTGGCGATCGGGATCTTCTGGCAACTGCTGGAGTGTTCGTACGCATCCTGGATCTCGAATTCGGTGCGCGTGAGATGGAGCAAGGAAAGAAGTGCGATGGCAAGAGAATGTTTGAGGAATAGTTGAACGACAGAACTCACTTAAAATAGCTGCCCCATCTCTTGAGTCCGTAGCCATTAACCTCTAGGGACAAAGGCCTTTGAAAGCTTGGTTCAAAGGCTTGCATTGCGCATCGTGTATATGGTAGAACAAGGTGATAGTGAATGAGGATCCATGAATTTCCGGCTATTTGCCGGCATGCTTTATTCGTTGCTTTATCTGTTTGACTTCATCATTCGAAGCATTCAATTCACAATGGACGAATACACATTCTAAAGACAAGACATAATGGGTATCTTCTACGAGACAAAGCTGAATTCATCCCGCTGAACCGGTGGCGAGTTCACCAACTGTGCCTTAACTCAAGCGTCCTCTAATTTCCTGAGGGCTCACCGCCTTATCGTGTTGTCAATGTTTGGACATCTCGCCTAGAAAAGTTATACATTCGCATTATTGAGTGTGTGTAAAAAATGAACGTAGAAGTGGATGACCTGTATCCACGAGTAAACAGAAATCAATCCTGTGGGCAAGTTAACGAAGTCAACAAGGTTCCACAGTTCGACGTACCGAGCAAAGGTTAACAACCACCACCAATTCATTAGATATAGCCCATCTAGCAGTGTGCGCTGCGACTTGTTTCATTTCTATGACTTTGAGGATGTCCACAAACTTCGAAGAAACTAACTTCGCCTCAAAACCATTTCCCCAGAAGTCGGAGAATGGATCCTCTACATGAACAGATTGACTCTGAAGAACTGCTAGTTGGATTGGACCATTGTTCTTCCGCCTGAAGATATGCTGGATCTGACCAGCCGACCACTGTTGTCCGGGGTGATGGTCGCCCTCCGGGTGGAAACAGATATAGCTGTTGCCTAAGGCACCTTCGATTGGGATGGTGTAGTCACCCTTAGATGCAGGAATACGAGAGAAAGACTCAAAAGGCTCTGTCCCCAGTAAATTTGTGAGCTCCGGAACACTAGCAATGGTCGTTTTAGGAGTTAGGGTAAAGTTACTTGCAATGAGTTCTGGTGTCACAGAAGACTGGTCGGGAGCATTACTAGCGGAGTGGTCAGAGGGTCTGTGGTCATAGTTGTAAGCTTTGTCTATCAATTTTTGGCAATACCGAAGAAAAGGCGGAGCATTGGGTCGCATCATCCACTGACGAAAAAAAGCTCCAGTGCAAAATGAATGCAGGAGCGTATGTTCAAATTCACCTGTACCACATAAATGACAAATTAGTGCTACGATGAAGGGGTTCGGATTGTTCAGTCACCTGGTTTGTGGTTCGTTGGAGTACGCTGAAGTTTTCCGATTAATTTTTCAAAAGGGAAGAGCCACCAGTGGCGAACTCCACTGAAGAGATCCATGAACTCGTGAATATGAAATGCAAGGTGGTGAGTGGGGAAAATCCATCCAGGAAAGTTTTCCTTCAGCCCCAATATATGTAGTCGTAATAGGCGACGAAAGTCGTCGCGGCGGGTCAAACTCAGCTTGCGCTTTGTCATGATCAAGGACGCGCAGGCCAAATGCATCACGGTGTCCATAACAGAAGTCATATCACTAGCATTTGCGGCAGCTAGAGGCGATGACTCTTTCCATAAGCTTAATATAGCCAAAGGCATGTGTATCGAAAATAGGGTCCTCCAGTTATCTGCCTTCAAGGTCCCTGCTTCATACAATCCAACATTTGAAGGTGGATTTGTCACCCAAGCTGGTGTAACAACCTCACGAACAACTTGTTGAACCCTCCTCAATAACCCTGGTGAGTCTATTATTGCCGATTTCATTTGGTCAAGTGGCTTCATCATCCTCTGGGGAAAAAGAGATTGACAACAATTTGGAAGTGATAGACAAAAGCAATGCGCACCCAGTCCATCAGTTGCTTGACCATATCGTCTTTCGCAAATTTTCCAGTAGGGAGTCGTTCGATGTCTGTACATACATAAGCCAAAGAATTACCAGGGAGCTTCCGCAAGACTTTTCGGAGCTCGTCTTCTTGCTCGCCTCGAGACAGCGGTTGTTGAAGAAGTCGATGAATATTACCAACACCGGATGCAGAGGAATAATTCATGGACTTGCCAAGTTCTTTGAGAAGTTCTAGCCGCTCCCCAGGAGCTAATGCCCGGGTACCCATATGGGTGTTTCCTGTCCCATTTGAAGGATGAGTAGGGGCCCACGGGGTGATGGGAGGTGGCATATCGATTGGTGTAAAATAAGGCCATACAAATCCTTGCATTTCACGGATGTCATTGGTGCGCTATGGACATGTATGAGGGCACATAGAGAAAGTCAGCAAAGGTTATAGCTACCCAGTTGATCAGTATGTTGGTTAGAAATTCCTTCTTTGCGTTGGTTTTCAGGATCTTCGAAGACGTCTGAAATTGCGGACATCGATGATCAGGAAAGATGGCGAGATTATCGCACACATAGAGAATCGCATTCCACTTTTGCTTCTGGATTCTCCCATATAATGCTTTCTTCTTCGATTCAACTTCCGGTGCCCTTTCACACAGATCGGTCAAAATTTCTAAAACGCCCTGGTATGCCCGGCTGTCATTCAAAATCTCAACTTTCAGAGACTCCAGTCTCAACCGTCGATGAGTACGATGCTCGGAAGAGAGGTGATCCCAATCCAGCAATGAGAGTCGGTGTTCATCCAAAGGTTGTGATACATATCCAATCATGCTGCTCCACCGGCGTAACGGCACCTCTGCCATCTCCTGTACTAGTGATGATAGAGATGGAGGTGGTGTGAAGTCGTAGTAGAAGGCAATCTTGAACCTGGGTTTGCTAGGCTTCCGACTGGGATCTTCGGGATTGTCCAGGCCGAGTATATCCCGAAACATTCTTTGAAGGAGAATAAGAAAAAATGCGTGCATAGGGTCGATACCAATTTGACAAAGACGCCAATAAGGAAGACGCCATAGCTCTGAAAATCGGGTGCCAAAAAGTTCTTCGATGGCCTTGCGATCCTTGAGCATCGCCTCACGCCACATTTCAGCACCTTTCCTAAGACGTTCATCATCTAGCGTTGTCCAATTCTCGTAATCTGTTCGCCCCAAGTGGGCCGTATGCCAACAATCACATAGAAAGCAAAAATGATGTGAGGTGACATCCAAGAGACCACAGAATGGTCGGGCAGCTTTGAAGTCCATGAGGGCTAAGACGAGAGCGATACGAGAGACCTGACTGTAAGGAGTGTTGGAATCACGGGTCCGAAATGTAGCGAAAGGCCGGACACCTCTGGTGTAACCCTTAACCAAGTCATCAACCAGGGGCTTCAGATAATGGCGATGTTCTGCGTTGCTTGCATTAGGCTCATGTGGGCCCCGAATTATGCCCGGGATGTAGAGGAATGCATGATCATTTCGAATTTCCAGGGGAAGGTTCAAACAACTCATGGCTATCATGCCAGTCGAAGACTTTTTTCCGCGAATACGATTGCCTTCGACATTGAAGAAGTCGGCATTAAGAGTGAAGAACCAACGGCCCTCATTTCCACGATCTGCAACAAATAGCTTGCCATCCTGTGCTCGAAATTCATGAACAAATCGACCATCTGTTTGGTCGACTTTGTCGGAGGGTATGGATTGGTGGCTAGAGACAGTGTCACAAAACTTATTTCCATATTCTTCTATGCCTGGAAGAGCGAGAAATCTCCCAAACCAATCGAAGAAGGGATAATATTCGTATCTTTTCAGAGGCTTTCCATATGACAGCAATAATGCGCCGCAAGGCTCCTCCAAGGGAGCCCTCCTCTCCGAACAAACAGTAGGATAAACGGGATGTGTAGCGTCATTTGGGTAAGAAGGGGGATGCGTAAAACTGCATTTCGGGCACACAGCATATGAAATACACTTTATGTTCAGATTGAACTTCTGCTCTAGAGTCTCGATGGATTCAGGAACCATGGCAAGGACTGCTTCCTGGTCAGGATTGAGCTCTTGGCCACCTAAGGTAGCGAACGAGAAACCAAAAATCTTCAAAAGTTTCAGGATCAAGCTGGCACCGCGCTGTGCTGTCCCTTCGAAAACCCGGGAGACAAGGGCAATACAGTATGCAATGATGGTAGGGGTGTTCTTGCCTTCACCAGGATCAAAGAAGTGTTTACCTAAAATTGGTAGAATGAGGACAGTCAACACTCGGCAGATTAGACGGAACGAGACACATACGATTGTTGATTTTCACAGGAGAAGAGTCAGGATACTCTAATCTCCATGCACAGACCATCTGATTCAAAGACTCCAGTATCTCTCTCGCTTCCTTAACTTCTTCGGAAACGGCAGTTCGGGTAATAGAAGCAATTTGAAGATTGAGAGTCTCCGAACCATCCTCTACGGCGCACAATGTAGCCTGGATTTCTTCTGGAGTATGAGACGTCGAGATTGACTGTATTTTAGTCTCTAGCCTGCGGGCTGCCTCAACCAAGTTCGATATAGCAAACAAAGCTCGGGTCGTGCGCTTGCTATTTTTCTTCGGATCCCCAAATTGTAGACGACCTCGTGAATCGGGGGCCAGAAGTGATTCCAATGAGTCTTCTTCAGCAAATGAACTGACCCGCGACGTGTTCTTTTTGATCATATTGTTGACCTGGAGGAAATTAGCGCATAAAATTTGAGATCATACCAGGTACCTACAGATTCTCTCGCAACTTCAGCCTGGAATTTGGTGAACGTAGAGTCTAAAGACAGTGGCTGCCCAAGACGGCCTTGGGAAGTATTTGAAGATACTCCAACTGCCATAACTCTCATCCCATATTCCAAATCATCAGTTGGGGTGAGGTTTTGATACTTTCGAGCGGATTCCCGAGCGCGCGTATCTGATGAAGAGACTGGGGTATGTCGTAGTTTAGAAGGCAAGGGCTCATCGACATCCTTTAAACCAGCCAGGAGCTCCCTGTACTTGGACATCACTAGTAGTAGCAATAATGATTGGATCGATGTAATCACATGCAAGTAAGGAAAATAGTGGCTGTGATCAATCTGATCGTATTGAAAACCGCCAACTAGGCCTCAGCGCTCAACGTTCTATGCTCAGCACGAATGTAAGTCCTAAACAATAATTGTTATTTGTCAAGTCCATGCCGCGGGCCTCCATTCCGCCGCTCGGTACTCCGAAGATCTGCTCTTATTGTAATCTCTCCCTATTGTTCTTTCTCGCTACACATATCCTTTCGTCCTAGTCTCTCATTATTGTCTTTTACTCTTTCGTTCTAGTCTCTCCTTATTGTCTTTTACTCTACCCTGCAGGTACTACTCGTATAGCTCCTAGTAGTTAGTCTGGCGCTCCGCACCGATGCGCCGTTCCGTAGATATAAATACTGCCTGTACGCTACTGTAGTTCCTCAGTTTAATTATCAACTTAGATCAACTTAGATCTCCCTTCTCAACTGAGCTCTTCTCTAAGTCTTCTGGCTCAACGCCTTGAAGTACGTCCTCCTTGACCTTAGGACTTTAACGTCCTCTGGTCCGCTCCTCGTCATCGGCGATACCGCCGCTCCGACCTGGCTGCTACTTAGCTCCTCTCTCTCTACTCTCGCTCTCCGGGGACTAACGGCGTAACGGCGGTGTTGTTAATAGCTTCACTACTGTCCCACTCGTCTTCCGCACTTAGACACCCTGTGGCCTTGGCACGGTTACACGGTGTACATGATCTTAACATTATTCACATGTCTTCATACGAACTACATCTGCAGGCCATACTCAGAGAATGAAATACGCCGTCACATCAATGTCTGTTTGTCATAAACTGTCTCTCAACTTTTGGTTAATCGATCCAACAGAAACTTGCAAGGAAGATCCTCAATGAATTTCTCAGCATAGATGACCCAGCTGACTGGCAAACCTTTACTGTCCCTGCTGACGAGCTGGGATCATATCTGGCTAATCCCGATGCTTGCCCTGTTTCTACTTCTCCTATGATGCTCGACACCTCTGCAGACACTGCTGCCAAAATGCGAGACGCCCCGTGGAATCAGATGGTCGTCAGTCTCCTTGCAGCTCAGGCATCAGAACGTGCTTCTCCAACCCCTGGGTACTTTGGAACTGATAAGAATGTAATTGATTGGTGTGCTCTCTTTAACGAACGGATCTATCGGATTTTCCTCGAGGTTGTCAAAGCTAGAGCCGGCACTAAGGATCACGACTATGAGAGGAAAAAGGCTGAAAGTCGAAGAAGAAGGTCGCGGGAATATGTATGTTCATCTTATTTCTTCTCTGCTCGTATCGTGTGCTAAGGCCCTGTACTCAGAAAGTGGAACGTCGTCTCCAGATTGCAACAGCCATGATGCGCATCGCACAGGCTTTGAATAACAGAGAACAATATGGTTGCTGGTCTGAAATATTTGACTCTATAAGCCGACTTGGTACTGCGGGGATGTCCGACGATGAACAGATATCAGACCCCCAGGGGCAGCATGGAATCACTGTCTATGCACCTGTCTTCCGTAATCCCTACTTCAATGAACTCTTCAGCAAAATCGATTCCACGCACGGGCTTGAAAAACATCTGTTCGTTCGCGTAGGACGATATCGGCTTCCTAGAATTTGTGGACGTGAGCGTATTGAGCGCTCACCACCAGCAAACCTTCCTTCGTCATACTACCAAGCTGATTATCTGATTGCCATGGATAAGGGTCTTGTTGAGAAGGTTCCAATTGCTTTAGAAGAAACTGCTCTTCCTCCGTAGGCATTTCTATATTGCATCCTTTGATAAGATATCTAACTTTGTATGCTTCCCAATTAGTTTGCCGACACTATTGAACTATCAGCCACCCATCTAATGTGCTCCCCGTGTGCTCCTACTTCGAATGCTAAGTGGCAGAGGGAGGGACTTGAATCGTATCTTTACTTTCCTTTTGTTGTCATTTCGTTGCATATGTATTATGCTAAACAGGAAGACAATATAGATTATAATCGATGGAGCATTCATAGTAAACAAAATTTATCATACGAGGGAGGCGGACATATTAGGGAACCCAATTACTTTATTTGCCGCTGCTAGCCCGTCTCGTTCCCTTCTCAACTAAGGTTGGGCGAGCCTCCGCCGCGATTTTCTCTAATCTCTCTTTTCTAAGAACAGCTTTCTGGTATTTCAAGTGATTCCGAATGAAATCATCAACAGCCCACAGCCCACTGTACTCCTTCAAGAATATGTACTTTTCGACGGCCTGACTTTGACTCAGAATAGATTTGTGTCGAAAAACTATTGCTCTCACCAGTTGTCGAACTTTTTTGACATTCGCCGCCCCTTGCTCGCTCATAGGAAGATCACAATTCAGATGGTCTTCAACAAGGTTGTTAATGAATTTCTGTTGGACGTCGGTAAGATACATGCTGAATTTCTTACAGAAGGATAAGCATACCTTAACTTTATCATACTTCTTCCTTGGCCACGATAGAACTTCAAAGAGGGAGTAGCCACCGCGACCGGGCCTTCCGACCTCACCAGGTGGTTTGGGAATCAAAAAATCATCATCAGAATCGTCTTCGAAAACCATAGCCGGTGGATTCCGCTTCTTCTCAGGTTCCGTAGAGAATGTGACAGTTTTGCGAGACCGAGTATATTCTTTCTCTTGAACTCTGTCGACTCCGAGAACGGGAGTCCGTGTGATTGGGGCAGAAGCCTGTACATTATCCATTCCAGAAATCGGGGCACTTTTAGCACCTTGAGAAACGCTGGGCACACCGTGGTCACTGCGACATATGGATGTTCTTCGTGGGGCATTTCGCAAACGTGCAAGCTGCTCTCGGTCGGAATCATATTCGAGCTCACTAGGAGACCCAATGGATGATGATGACGACGAGAGCAATACAGAAGGTCTGGGCTGCGGTTCCGGAGAAGGGCTACTGTACGGAGAAGCTCTGGGTGACTCTTTCTGTGTGCGTACTGGCCCAGTAGACGGAGTGATAGCAGCGCAGTTGAAGGTATTCACTGCATCGGAGGGTAAACATATCTCTCTGTGATTAGCACATAGAGGGCGGTGGTCGAAGTTGCGATAGGGATTCATAGATTGCGTCGAATGAGTTACTGGATTGGAAAAGGTGAAGAGTGAATTTATGTAGCAGTGGCCCTTCCTTTTAAGCACGGAAAGATTTGAAGCGGATAAAGCATAAGATAACCATTGATTAAGACGGTTGTTTGAAGTGGCTTTGGAAGGCGTGAATGAGGATCGGAACAAAGAGAAACATAGGCTTTTCCTTATTAGGCAAATGCCCTTGTATTTGTCTCTCCCCCAGCTCTCCCCCGCTCCTGCCCATCTAAGCCTTCGCAAAGAATTGGTCGTTTTGTCATGGTCACGGACTCTCAATATCAAGCAATCGCCACCTTACAAGGACCGCGAGACGCTGTGGTATCTCTGGCCTTCTCAGTGAAAGCTAAATTCCTTTCAGCTGCCGGTGACTTCATGTTCTTTGACTCTCAGTTCTTTTTCGTACTTAGAATTGTCAAGGATATAGTGGTGTCTACGTTTGGGATCTCTCGACTTTTACGTCCGCTCCGCTTCCTCATATGCTCTTTGCTCCCCAAAATCCGAAATATGTCATAATGGCGTCCGTTTGGGTCTATTTCCAAAAGAACAAACGCCATATTTTGCTCTTAGGCTCTATGCGCGGAGATATCATATTGTGGGATTGGAATAATGAGACCAAAGTGAGTTACATACCTGTATCTATCCATTCAGTATGGCTAATATAGGTTTAGTCTTTCCAGCTGCTCTATCGTGTTCCCCCAATGGAGAACAAAGAAGATGAGATTCTTTCCATGGATGTTTACGAGCACGACATCGCATCCGGCAGAATTGGCAGGGTTGTCGCATCTACGGCCAACCGATGCATCAGTGTCTGGACTTTAACGTCTTCGGGGGAGTTTTCGAAAATATTTTCCACTGTTCTTGATGAAGGAGTCAATCCAAAAACGGTATGCATGTGCAAAATTACTCGAGACATCTTCGTGTTTCCGTTCTATGGAGGTGAAATGTGCGTTTATTTCGATCTTTCATTTCATGAAGTGTTTCTTAGTCTTGCAGACACTGTCTAGACTATAAGACCGGAGCGGTGAAGCATCGTAAATCGCATGCTCCTGGAATCATGTAGGGAAAAGGAATTCTTATTTCCCATTCCGCATTGATGACTATTCTTTTACAGGGGATCGGTTGCTATGAACTCAACAACAAATAAATTTGTCGCCTATACCGGGAAGAGTTTCCAGCTCTACCGCCTCGGTAGTCTTGAACTGGTCAAAACATTCAAAACAGAACTGCCACTCGTCTTGTTTCCCAAACAGGTTGCATTCGGAGAATTAGAGAACATCGTTGTAGGCGGAAGCGATCGCGGCTGTGCTCTGGTATACGATGTCAATAGTGAAGAGGTGCTTCAGAAATTAAGTTACCCAAGTGGGGGGCTTGTTCAGCCGGTCTCGGCGAGTGTTACACATTTATTGCTCTCTCAGATCTGCTGACCAAGGCTGTAGACTATCTCACTTCCTGAGCGCCATTTGATTGTGGTTGCGGGATCAACTGCTCAGCAGCCGGCGGACGTCATCCTTTTTGAGAAATGTATTCCTGCGGAATACGATTCCACGACAGATATTCGGAATGGCAGAGCTCCAACTCAAGATGCTGTGCTCATAGGCTTCTATCTTCCCAAGAGGCTCTGGAAATGGATACGGATTCTTGGCGCAGTGGTAGTATGTGTTACCTTCGTCGGGTACTACATTCTACCCATCGTCTATCAGGTTTGCAATAGTTTGGATCATTTTGAATCCTTGATCAATTTCATCTGCAGGTTCCTTCTCATTTCGACAATGTCAATACGCAATTACACCCAAATGTTAACTGGCAAAGCGGTACGAAGGATAAATTAGGTCGCAGTTTTAGGGCGAAATTTGCCAGCAATCAGGCTGAAGGGCGTCATCGTGATACTGCTGTTGTTCTCAAAAAGGATGTGATAGTAATAGAATGAATAATATCTAGTCAGTGGTATGTAGTATGCCGAGTTTGCTTGCTACAATATCGAATTTTTTTGCCTTCCCTCACTAAATTGAGGTAGAGATATCAATGCATCCCAAGCACCGGGCGTGAAACACTCTTGTGCAGCTTCAACACAAGATCTCTTCTCAGGGACTGTAGCAACATACGAGAAGGCTGAACATACTGCTTTGTAAATAATTATTGGCGAATCGCCTGTCTTACAGCTTGCTACAATGAAATCGGAACTCACAAAGTAGGTTTGATAGGATACATATGAAAACTACTACTCATTCTCCTTTCGAGTTGTAGTAAGACTGGCCAACACGAATGAAGCATCTTTTACCATGCTCCGCCATTGTTGACCCTTTGTGCCCTCCCTATCATTTTGGCCTCCCAATGCCATTCCCCACCATTTGAGGCAAGCGAGCAAACTGAGCCAACCATTCTTCCCATTCCTGTCGAGGGATCCCCATTCCTTATGCAGTTCACCTATCGACTCCCCGGTACCAGGGGACCGAAGTTGTTTCCACCAGGCCATAAAGCACTCACTGAATTGAACAAGAGCATCGTCCGTCTTGAGTTCGGGTTCATTGCCACGCCTATCGTACCTGCAGTTGAGTATCCACTTGCTGAGTTCTTTGGGCCTGCCATGGGGTGCCAGTCCCTTAGTTGAAGATGCCCAGCCTCTGGAGCACTCGTACTCCACCCATTCCTTGAAGAGATTGCAATATTCTTCGCCTAGATCTTGATTAAGATATTCGAATGCGGCCGGAAACCATTTTCAAGCATCCTCCGACTTCAAAGCTTCTATGGGATAAGAAGGAAGCTGCGAAAAGCCATCGATTGAGTACAGAGACACACGAACAATCACTGATTGTATGCTATCGTACCTTCATGGGAATACTTTCTGAAAGCTGATCAGCCGTTCGAGAGGATTGATCCTCAATCTCTAGGGTGGAAAAGATTACACTTTCCGCTTGCTTAGGTAAAGCACTCGAAGCTACCTGGACCTTGAAGCACAAAACAAACTAGATCAGATTGACGCGATTACGATTGCAAAACACGGACCAGATGATTATGTGTTCCTTGTCTAGACAGTGGTTCATGGTCGGAAGCATGAATATGCTCTGGGGGGCTGGCTTGAGGACTCTGAAGGTCAGGGACATCGGCGCCAGTGTTGGAACCTACACCGATCTTCTCGTTTGCGAGTCGAAGTTTGAGTAATTCAACCTCTAGTTGATTCACGCGGCGCTCCAACCTCTCCGCCTTTATTTCCGCGATGGTCTTTTGTTGAAACACCTCTTTCCGTTCGGCCTCTAGGAAATCTATGCGTTCGGAATCACAGTTCTGAAAATTATACATATGAGAAGTTGCGGAGCAATAGAAGGATGGGAACACTTGCCATCAAGTCGTCTAACTCAATTTCTGCCTCTTTGAGCAGGTCATCTTTCACGAGAAGCTGTTCTCTGAGTTCCCGAGCCTCTCTGGATGGTTGCGATACCACTCGTACTTTCTGGGTTAGGTCAGATTAGCAAACTTAAACCTAGAGAGCTGTGAATCACGCACCGGACAACGTTCACTCGATGTACTGGGGGCTCTTCGTTTTGTCATAGCTGAGCAAAGACAAGAATGGGTTGCGTGTCAATACAAAGAATATTTGATTCAATCGGACAAAGGGACAAAGGGTAGGATTCTGACCAGGCATATAAAACAGGGATCTTTGCGATAGAGCTTTCAAGCACACTTTCCCATATACCCTAATTTCCACACCTTTATTCGTACGCCAAGATGGGCATGCACCACGTCGCAACTTGTATTCCTGACCAACATGTGAGTCAAAACCTTTCTTTGCTGAGTGTTCAGAGGATGGAGTACTCACATTTATGATGATGTCCCGTAGACCACTGTGAAGAGTATCCGCGCCCGATTGTATAGCACCCATAGCCCGTCTCCCAAACCCGTTACAGCCCGCTATAGAGAAAACAGAGGACGGCCAAAGGATCGCTTTGTCTTCGCAGCGGACATCCTTTCGAACCCCCGGCGTCAGCCATATATTCATGATATCATGCTGAGCATCCGTTACCGCGGGACGTTGTACAAGTTTCTTGTGTTCTTCAAAAGACACAAGATGCTTCCGCCGAATCAATCCATTCAGAATTTGGGAGGGCGCCATATCGATGGAGATGTTCTCCTGGTCGCTTGCGGTAAAAGGGTATCAATTAGGAATTTGCGCAGTGGATTGGAGGATAGAGTAGCAGATATAGCCATTAGAAGGTGCGAATTGCGGTTCTGTGCATTTTCCACGATTTTTGGTCTGACGGGCCGGTTATCCTTATCACAGGCTTTCAGAATCTTTGGATCCGATCAGAATCCGGCGTCGTTTTCCCGCATCTATCTCGTTCGAATAAATTGTCGGCCTTTCAGCATTTTACATTTTTACTTCGATTTCTACAGTAGATATTATAGTCTGGTCTGTGTTCTTTGTGTATGATGTATGATTTGTCTGTTATATCATATAAGTACTTTTAAATCTCAGCTTCATCCGCTCACTCAACCTATGATACAAAAAACGGAAGCGGTGATTTGTCTCCTTGATGTGCAATTACCACATTGGCGGCAACGTCCACCGCTAAATGGCCGTGAATGTACGTGGTCTTCTCAGACTCTATTCGAGGGGTATTCAACTTTTTCTTGTTTTCGAAGCCGAAAAAATGTAATGCCAGCAACGAGTTGTGAGTTTGACATACGAGACAATGAATGTGACTTGATTGGGGAGGTATATGGGGGTGAGGTCTACATTAGAGTCAATTAAAATCTGAGGAATTGAGAAGAGGACGAGGGAAGGAGAATTCACCTCACCTAGTAGAATTAGAGCCATACCAAAGTCCGCTTCTTTGAATCCCACTTGCGCATGCCTTTTCCTCTGGCAAGCCTGAACTCCTAAGCCTCCTGCGACGATCTTCGTCAGCAGCAATTGAGATAAGGCAGTCTCCGCCAGATCGGAAAATATGAATCGGACGTCGGTGAGTTCAATGTCGATATTGGCACTGGATTCCTTGCGACAGCCGCGCGAAGCAATTCTCCAAATTCAGTTCCAGGATCTAGCCACAGAGTTACCTTGTCAGATGTGCAGCAGTAGTGGAAGGGAAGACTGACCACCAATATAGAATAGAACTGTTTCGTGTTCACGCACAATGATTAGCGCATCCTCTTCCTCGCCCCTTCATGCATGCGGTCTCCAAAGAAATTGTACAACGATACTCGTTGCTTTATAGCCATCCTGACTGAGTATGGTCTGAAATTGAGACCAAGTATCTATCCCGGTATTAAGTGTTAGTACGAAACGATGCACACAAAAGGTTTACGCACCAAATGACTTTTCCACTAGCATGACACAGGTTTCGATTGCGACCTCCACTGCGCATAGTATATATGTCCTTCTCCTGACACTCGGTTGGTTTCAACATCGTCGATGAGCGCTTTTGCGGCACCAGTATGACGAAAAAAAGAATCCCACTTGAAATGAGTCAAATTAGCATGAGCTGAAACAGGAGAGCAAACTCAGTTACTTTGAGAGTCCATCTTTGGTGTATTTGCTTAAGCTGACGAGTAGAGGGCGGGTCGTTTGTTCTTAGTCGTCCACAGAAAGCCGGGCGATTTCATCCAAGATATCAGAGCAACACTAGATGTTGATCAGTATCCACACATTGGTCATTTTATAAGATTGACTTTGTTCATTCTTGGGCTCTCTGCGGTTTCCTGGCGTATTAGTCACTGTCAGGAAGATAGTTGCATCGGTATCCGGTAATAATCGGTGATCACTTGAAAGCCGGGTCTTCCCAGAACGCTCATGACAGCACGTTATCTTGAAAATTATATGAACTCACGGTCTATTCACTCCGCCCTCTCTCAGCGACTGGCTTCGTCACAAGAAGCGTATTTATTACAGCACACTAACGCTGTTTAATCAAGGACACAGCTGATTGGTATGACTTAGTACATTACACAATTGGATACTCATAATATGCGACTATGTGTAGATATATCCTCCAGGATCAATTTATGTCCATAGCATTCCTGTCGTCTCCACTTTCTGCATTAGCATTGTACCCTTTGAAATCATACATCTGGAATGTGTAATCTGCGAGCTTGAGCTCAGCGAACTCGAATGGTAGCAGAGCAGAAAGATATTCTGGACGGAAGACGGATCGTGGAAGGCCAGCAGGTGGAAGTCTATGGGAAACTTTGTCGGTACGAATCCTTTGCATACGAGGGGCACCTGCTCGGTGAAATATCGCCGCCTCCACTCCAGGAGCGCAGTCCACGATCTTGTAACATTCCTCGATGCCAGGTTCCCGCCAATACAGTCTGGAGACCTTCTTCACACTTTGCTTCATCATTACACCCTCAATTTCCACCTCAATAGTTGCATCTTCCTCGTCGGACTGGCCGTGATCCCCAAGGATTTCTGTGAGATTGAGTGCATGGGACCAGAATGCAAGACCCGCCTGGTCACCGCGCTTTCGGCAAGTCTTCTTCATGAGTGTTGCAATGTCGGAACGGATTGTTCGTTTCTATTAGAAGTCTATTAGTATCAGTAAGTTCGATTAGATAATTAACATCACGAACCGCATGGCGAAGGCTGACTTGTGCATTGCGTACTTTGCGTTCAGTGTCAGTAGTAACGAGGCGCAAAACACGATCTTCATGGCTTTCACCGGGCTGACGGCGTGCTTTAACAACCTGTTTGAAAATATCGTAGAAACGATCTGAGAATAGGTCGACCCAGTCGATGGCTTCCACCCCAAAGCGGTTGTCTTCACAATTATCGACAATGTCCTGTGCTTTGGCTGCAAACTTGTGAATTAGGGCCCGATTCCAGGCAGACTTCTTCATTGTCTTTGTATCCGGGGCGAGTTTATCGATACGGGTGTTGCGAAGCTTGGGCCCGTATTTTACAGGGTCTTTGATGTACAGTTCCTGCCTTTCCTGAGAAACACCATCCCTTGCAAATATAGCCCAGATCCGCCGTACATTGAAGCCTTCATACAGCAGATCTCGGGCGAGTGCCTGATATGTCCGTGAGTTTGTATACATGTAAGGTTTCTCGGACTTACGTTGATATGGTGCTTGACTTTACGTGGATCATACTCTACAACGCCCTTCTTTGCCCACATCTCCTGCACCCTGCTATCATCAGTCTCCTGAGCATCTTCGTTATCAAGAGGTTGTCTTTCTTCCTGATCCGATTCATCTTCGTCATCCCCATCAGCAGGGTTCCGCTCATTTGTGTTCGCAGTAGTTCTGCTTCCTGCAGCTGCAGCACCGGGGAATGATGGCATCTGCCTTCCTTTGCCTTTATCTGACTGAGTGCGCAGGCATGGAAAGTGAGGATAGAGCTTCGTTTAACAATATGTTCACATACCGATCCTGGGTTTTGACTGGAGCTATTAGCTGGCTGTTCATGATCACCTTCATATTCTTCATCATCGAGGTAGTTGGCCGACTTCTGCTTGGCCCGCTTCTGTAAGAGGCATCTCGTATCACATTGTCGACAGAAGAAACTCAAACTCACCGACTTCAAATAAGGAGATGGATTCACTTTATGCCAAGGCTTCAATAGTGGGAAAGGATTGTTGGTCTGCGGGACGCTATCCTTGACTGAACTCTGAAAAAAACGAGACAGAAATTCATCAGTCAGTTCCGTTCAAATACCAATGTGATAAAGCTCACCAAAGGTTGAGGTAGTACCCAGCGTGGATAGTTGTCCTGGACACGATTCAGCTCTGCTTGGACTGGAGCATTTGCAAGGGTCTTCCCTAACCCCCCCATTACTCTAATGTCATGTATGATATGACCGTTCATAGGCATAGCGGGAGTTGGTGTACGGGTCGGAGTCGAACGCGGGGTTGGCATACCGGTTGGAGGACTCGAGCTCAAGCCTGAAGATGACAGCCGATGACCGCCCGATGCCAATGCCTAGGACAATATTAGAAGTTATTGGCGGGATTGGCATTTTGACAGATTGACACACCTGAAGTTCTTTTCGGAGTTTCTGAATCTCGAGACTCTTTGCCAAATTCTCTTGCTGTAAAACAATGACTTCGTCTGAAACGTCAGTATGTATCGTGGTCTTTGAACAAATCAGTATACAATATTATACAGCTATCCCGATGTTACCTTTGCGCCATTTCCCTTCAACTCCTTGATGACAACCTCTAGCCAGGTGTTCTCTTTCTTGAGGGCGTCAGCGTCTTGGGTTTTCGTATTCAGCTGACCTCGTAAATCTTGAGATTCTGTTGCGAAATCATTCCACCGCTGGACTGCCGCTGCGAGTTCGTGTTTCTTTGTCTGCAGTTCACCCTGTTGTTTCTCGTACATTGCCTAAAAACTTAAGCATGTGCTTGTGTGCAACGTAGATGGAACCTACCTTGGTTGCATCCAATCGACCAGATATGACATCAAATCGGGGCTGATAGAGGTCGATATCAGGAAAAGAATACCCTCCCTATGATATACTCACCCTCGCAATCCAGTCATCTTCGTTGCGTGTCTCAGATTCCTGGTTTGAAGCGTCACTTGCAGTACTCAGCAATAAAACTACGCTCACCTGCAAACGTCGAATTTCTAGTTCTTGCTGCTGTAATTGATGGACCAGCTTTGCTCGTTCGGCATCGAGATCGTGTGTTTTCTGTAAAGCTGTTGCCATGACATTCTGCACCTTGAGACGAACATCTGTCAATTGTTGAGCCAGAGTCTCCTTTTCATGGACTAGTTTCTCGACTGTCTGCGAGAATGAAGTTGCATTGTCTGCGGCTTGTTGTTCCACCTCCACCTTCTCATTAGCCAGTTTCTGGACTGTTGCTGAATTTAAATCCAACCGACGAACAAGCTCTTGCTTCTCCAGAGCTAGACTCTTGACCTTCTGAGAATTGTCCACCGATTGGCGAGCCAGTGTTTCGTTCGCTTCAGTAAGTTTCAAAATCTTCTGCGATGCTGCCGCTGCGTTGTCTGCTGATAGCTGATCAGCATCCGCCTTCTTATCGATCAACTTCTGGACTATGGTTGCATGATCCTCTGATTGACAGACCAACTCCTTCTTCTCTAAAACTAGACTTTCCACCATTCGACGATCATCTGCCGACTGCGCAATCAATCCTCGATTCTGTTCATTCAGCTCTTGGACCTTTTGGTTAACAGCAGTTGTGTCTTCCCTGAATCGCTGAATAAGAGTTTCCTTCTCCTCCACAAGTGTTCGAAGCATCTGACTGTTTTCCATTAGCTTCTTCTCGAGTTCCGAGTTCCGAGCGGAAGCTTCGCCCAAATCATGTTTCAAAGCAAGAATATTGGTATGAAGAGTGTCCAGTGCTGACTGCTGCAAAGTTTAAGTTTTTTCTAGTGTGAGCACATATGATCGCTGCATGAAAGTAGAATTCAAGTAAAATCACCTGCAGGTCATCCTTCTCGTTAAGTGCAGCTTTGAGATCTTGAATCTGTTCAACTAGGAGGCTGATCCTCTCCTCCGCAACTGTGGATTTGTCGGACATATCTTGGAGTTCAGTGCGTTGATCTTCAATTTCACTATCCTTGGCAACCTGTAGCCAATCGAGTTCAAGTTATGGATGGGAGAGCGGGGGATGGGATGTCTGCTCACACGCATCTCTTCTGACTGCTGCAGTGCAATTTGTAAGTCCTCGATTGCATGCATCTTCTCTTGCTAACAAATGAATGCAAGTGTGACGTCAAGGATCACAGCTAGAGAGGTTGGGTGACTTACAACAAGTACATCGCTTGAAGATTTTTGCTCGCATAGTGCATTTTGCAGGTCTTGAATTTCGAGCTCTTTTCGTTCCTAGAAATATACCGATGAGTCTTTGAGCATGAACGAAAAGAATTCAAACTTACCAGAACAATTTTATCTGATTCAACAGTCTCGCCCAATGATCCCTGTAGCGATTTTACCTCCTGATCCTTCTGCCGCTGAGTTAAATCTCATAAAAAGCGGCCTCGACAACTGAAGAAGGTTCACTAACCATCTGTAATTCATGCAAAGCAGTAGATTCATCGAGCAATTTCTTCAAATCTTCAGTCTCGTGCTCTTTGATTTGCTATTCCATGATCAGCAGGCGTTAGGTTATGGGTAATCTCAGGCGTAAGGCAAACACCTACCAGTGCTTTCTGACATGAAGTATAGACCTCGTTCAAATCTTCCAGTTTGATTTGAAGTAGATCATAGATGTCGGTCATGTCCTTGTGTTCCAACTGCAACAAATATCAGGGATCTCATCGTACAGAGCCATCACAACTGACCTTGAGAGCCTCATGATCCTCCTTCAATATACCCAAATCATTCGAAAGCTGTTGATTGTCTTCCTCAAGAAGGATCTTTTCATGATCGGCTCGGTGTAACTTTTCCTCGGTCTCTTGATATTTCGACTGAAGGGAAGATTGTCTGCTCTGCGCATTGGAAATATTGGTATGGAGTTGATTATTCTCGTTAACAAACCGGTTCATTTCCTTGGAGGATGTTGATAATTTATCCTCCAGTACGGTCTTTTGTTGTTGCAGAAGTGTGATACTTTCACGTAAGCGTTTGTTATCTGACTGGAGACCATTCGCAAGTTCCTGGATCATCGAAACTATACAGAACCATTGATGACTATGCTGACTTTTGACTAACCTTTGAAACATTCATGGAATTTTGCAGCGACAGGACCTCGGTCTAGAAATTCTCAATGATGATGTTCAAGTATAGATGTGGGTCTTACCTTTGTCGTTTCTACCAGATTTCTCAAGTCATCGCACTTGGCAACACTGTCGGCGAGAGACGTCTTGAAAATGGTGCTTTTTTGACTATGGAGATATATCAGAGAACATGAGATCTACCTCGAGTATAGTGATATCTTCGTCTTGCAATTTCTTTGTCAACTTCTCGAGGGATTTTGTTGTTTGCTAGAACAATGTCAGTCATATAGTTTATTGGATCTTGTCATACCATACCTGTAGCTGTGTATTTGCGGAGGAAAGCTTCGAGTTCGAATCTATTAGAGCTGTCATCTGAGTCTTGAGATCATGACATTCGACCTGAAAAATCGCACTGAGCGTTATAATATTCAACTACAGTTCCACACACCTCCAGAGTGTGCGTCAAGATCTAGGGCATTGCATGTCGACATGTCTTCGCTGTCACGAAGCGGCAGAGGCGGAGTGACTAACGGAGCGGGAAAGCGGAGCGACTAAGCAGAACGGTGAGGCGGAGCAACTGGACAAGGCAACAAGGCGGAGCGACTAAGCAGAACGGCGGCAGGCTGGTCCCAGATAATGACAGAGATATATTGAGTATCGTAGTCATAGGTAATAATAAGTAAGCACATACCTGGTCCCAGATAATGACAGAGAGGTCAAGATAAGGGACCAGGCTGTGGAGGGTTGGCTATATATACATAATCCGGTCTGCGAGAAACAACGATGTAATACTGTACAGTTTAGGAACAAGGAAGGTGGCGGAAACCAATAGAAGGAGAAGATGGGTCAGGTGGATCAGTAATCGATGGATCAGTAATCGATGGGGGTTTGACAGTGATGGGATGATGTATCGTACAAGTAAAGGCGTCGAGACGGTGAGAAAAGGAAAATGATAGGGGCTGCGTACTTTATGACATTCGCAAGAGAAGTAAATAAGACGTACTTCGGAGGCACTCCGTGTCTTCTCGGACTCAGCCCACTGAGTGGACAAACGCTCCTGCAGATCTTTCGCTTCTTGATCCAGATCATAGACACGACCAATTAGTTCTACATTCTTGTCCAAGAGCTATGGCATAGTGTGAGTTATGCGCAGGTGATATGTGGGTTGAAGATACGAGCCTGTTTACGCGTCTTATCCAAGTCATTAGCTTTTGCCCATGCACCTTGGTTAAGAACTTCTTGCGTTGCAAGGTGCTCCTGTGCCTCTTCGATAGTGGTCCGCATACTCGAAACCTTGCGTTCAAGAGCTGTGATGATTGTATCCCTTGATTTAATTTCCAAAGCAGCCGATTCTATCTCCGTGTTCTTAGCTGCAACCAAGTCCTCGAGAGCATGTATCCTCTGACGGTCCTTGGGTTCCATATCTAAGGCGGTCAAGATCCATATCTTTCTTTCTCTCGAGTTAGGCTCCGTCTACAACTTGGTTTGAGTTCGTTGGAAATAAATTTAGAACTCAAAGAACATACGTGAATCCTCGGTTCTTGCTGCAAAGGTTGTTTAGGTGATGGATGACTCGTAGCAAGAAGACCGCTTACATCAATCTGCATTAACGAACCACCTCTGATTGTTGAGCTAGATCCTTGCATCGATACGTCAGACTGTAGAGGATTGTCAGCCAGAATGAGGGAAGACTACCGTACAGACACGCACAGTAATGGTGCTTTGCGACGCGTCAAGATCCATTGCGCTTTGACTGCGCTTATTCCTCGACATATTGAAGCTCGAACTTCGAAGTATGAAAGCAAGTCACATAAAGGAATCGAAACAAAGAAAACATCGGGCGTTTAAAATGGCGGCAAATTTCGGTTATCCGAAGCGCCTTCGTTTTTAACACGACGTCATTTTGTTTAGTTCCTTCTTGAGACAGTATATCTTCTGTACCTAGAGCAGAGGCATTGCAAACCAATGAACTCGGGGAGAGATTAGCGAGGGCATTCGACCCTATTGAGAAGGAGAGAGCAAGGAGGAGCAAAGGTCATGTAATATACGGCAGGAGATGTCCCGAGAGTGAGACTGAAAGCTTAAAGCTGAAAGTCTGAGCTTAATAAATGAGCAATTGCGGACTACGCCATTTTCTTTCGAAGGAGAACTAGGGGGAAAATCAATGGTGTAGGTCTGTTTGATTCGTGAATACTAGGTCTTTCCCCTTCTATTCCACACTATTCTGAACCTCTTCAAATCATTCTTGATACACAATGTTCTTCATAACGCTCTGAATATGTGCCCAACAATCCCATGACCCTCGGGGTAGAAATCTCCTGACCCTCGCCCCAAAGTCGGAATCGCTCACTAAGCTTGCGGTTGGCGAAGGTATACCGGGTTTATGCCGGGTAAGAATCTTCCGCCTTTCGCCCAATTTGTTTCTTGTCTGGGAAAATCAATAATTCCCAAAAGTAAAATAAAATAATTACCAAAACATTTTCCAGGTGAGAAAAATGACGTTTACCACCAGGAAATTATTCTGAGAAAGGAAATTAACCTCAGCTCCTTTCTATCTTTGGATTAAAACTAGGAAAAATTTGTGTTCCTGACCGTAAAAGTTAACAGATTTCACTAAATTTGTATGTCAGGAAAGTTACTGACAAAGTAAATAATTTGCATAAAATTTTGCGCTGGTGATTTATGTATTCTTTCGATGAGGAAATCTACCTAAAAAGGAAATCTTTCCCATAAACTTTCTCTGCCACTTTCTCGGCCGGGAATTATTGATCCCGGCGCAGTGATAGATAGATAGATTGTTACATGGCCCCATTACATTAATGGTGTGGTCCCCTAATTGGAACAGCCAGTCTCAACGGCCGAATGACAGCAAGTGCAACCCACAAGGAGAAGATAGACTGTCACCCGGACATTAAGGCCATAGGAAGTGGATAGAGTTACATGAGAGAGTAAATAGAGTATATGAGGTAGATAGTCAGTCCACCCTATTAGAAGGTGTAGTGCATCATTTACAGAGGATGGATTACTGATAGCCTATCTTCCTTCCTTTGGGCCCCGGCTTGTGTGATGATACCCTTCCGCACAGTTTCTCCTGCATAACACTGGCGGGCAGAAATGTCAAATGTTTCAACATGATATGGCCGTAATCCATTCCAGAAAAGAGCACATGTAGATTGAAATATGGGAAATAGATATGTCATCGTAAGTGAGGTGAACAATGATCTCACAACATACATCCAGCTCTCTTTGATGGTTTGCCACTGGTGTACAGGACACAAATCATTTTCCCTAGTTCCTGCAAGCGGGTTTGAGTGGGGAAAACCGATGAAGTCAGCTGGCATGCGTTGAAGGATCAAAACCTACTTGCAATTCAGCATTTTCTTTATGATCATCATAGCATTGAACAGATAGCGTTTTGGGCGCCTAATAGTGATACAGCTTGTTCCGTAGCCATGATCATGAGTGCATCCAGTGACTCCGACGTGGAGGATGCAAGTGGATCCAACGTTGAGTCTGACTGCGAGGTGAGTGGCTCGCTTTCTACACCAGCACTACTAATCTTCATCTGACCTGGACGTACATGGCAGAAATTGATAGACATTTAGTATCCACATTCAGATTGAGGGTGAAAGTATAGTTGTAAGTAATTAAGTGGTCCCGGCCGACGCTGCCCAATCCACTCTCAGAGATATCAGTGGTATTTTGGCCCAAGATACGGCGGGAAGAAGGAGAACTTCAAGTGGACGAGTTCTCCAGAATGCCTTCTCGAAATTCGAAAATCGCACTAACATCAAGATTTTATCTAGCGTTTTATTTGGGCGTGGTGATTCCATGGGTATAGGAAGTCTCTATGAACAGGACTCCCCACGGCGCATGGTTATGGCTCTCACCTAGTTTCCATTCATCCTATCTGGATTCGAATTTCGATACAGCCTCAGATGCGTCTCTGAGTGTTGCTCAAAGTTTCATAGCATGGTTTAAAGCATGAAGATAATCTCAGAGCGGCGCTTTATGCCCCTTCGTCTTCGGAATCATCAATCAAGGCAATGACCTGTTCAACCTAGTTGTATCTCGCGAGGGTCATTGTTTCTTCCGTGAACGTAGTAAGTTAGTCTTTTACGAAGGATCTTACTGCTGTAGCTATCCTCTATTGATCTAGTCTACCAACCTTCCAGGTAGTACTAATTTTGTTCATTGAATTAGGTTCGAAACCATACCCGAAATATCGATCATGATGCGACGGTGACTACGGAGAGTCACCTTGATACTTCGATCTGTCTGATACGTTACCTCTTATCACTCTCGCTGAAGATGCGAGGGAGTCCACGAATGAAGGTAAAGATCAAATATTGCTGCTATACTCTTGTACGGACTGACAAATAGAGACACAGAGCACCATTGACCTGTCACATCAGGCTAAAATTAAATCATGATTATTCGAAGGAGCGTTCAGAATCACCGTCCGTCCATGATATAACAATCGCCCTTGGGGTTTTCTTCGCTCTCGGGGTGCATATGATAGCGCAATAGCCTCTTCTGTGCGCCGTCAATAATACACGTTCGATGTTCGAATTGAACACAGTATGTACCCTGTATGAACGTTTTCCCTAAAATTTTCCGAGCCATCATGATACTGCCTATTAAGTATCTTATCATGTTCCGAATTTTCATGTTCTAGAGCTCCACCGAACGACATTGAATGATCAGACGTTTTCGTCTGTGCTTCTTCAGATCTCCCCACTGTCTTCTACGTCTTCTGTGTCTTCTGCAATTCTGTACCTCTATCGCCTCGCCTTTTTCATTCCGGGCTGTGGACCGACCACTTACAGTCGTCATCCGACCATGATCGAGCACAATATCTTTTCCAGGGAACCCCCAAAATCATTGAACCCGACACACCCAAAATATAAATTGAATTCAGAAATACTCGTACATTCCTCCTACGGAGGAAAACGCGCAACCTATGAACTAGTATTGATGTCCGGAATTTACGAAATGAATCCGGTCTTAAATTCGATGGCGGGGAACTCGTAACTCTCAGTGGCTTGAAGGATTTCCGGATCATTAATACAATTGCGAATTGTGCCTACTAGAAGGGGGGATTCTTATTCTTGAGGACGACGGTGGGCAGAAGGTGCAGTGCGGGAATGAATAGGTGCGCACAGGGGGAGGAGCGGAAACGGGGACCGGGATGAGGTTTCTCGCCACTCCTTGATAGGTAGTGTGTGGATCTTGGAACTTCAAGGGATGCGTTCCAACGTGATTCACAGCATCTATGTTCCAGCGCTGTATATGTACAACTAATTAGCTCTAGTAGTAGTCAGCACTCAGGCTAACAGACTCTAAATCGTTATATGCATCCAAACCCATAGTACATCGATAGCATATACACCATGCTATGCCATATACTAGCAGATACTTGGCACATGCACTACTATCTGCTACTCAATACTTAAATCCGAATACTCACTGATGCACATTTTTCAAACGTGTTGTTGGTGCGTGAGGCCTCATACCATGACGTTCTTCTAGGGCCATCTTTGTATCTTCGGTTACAGCGAAGGCTGCCTGATTTCACGGGGTCTCCGCGTTTCCGTGTCTTCGAGTCTCCGAATCATCGCATTTTCATAGTCTTATACGGGTCTCGTACCATTATCCATCCCTTTCGTGCCTTTGTTGCCTCGTTGTTTTAATTTCGGCAGAATGTACCTATCGATGATCGACCACTGGCACCACTGGCAAATGACGCTGGACTCGAAACGTCTAAGAATACTAAAGTTTTCCTAGTTCTTGAATGGAAGATGTATCCTCAACCGACTTACACTCCACGGGTTACTTTGGTTCAAATCTGTGGTTGGCGTTAAACTTGGGGTAAGACTGCGTGTAAAACTCCAAGAATCAACACTATCTGATATCACTGGGGTTCCGACGACGTAATAATAAGACTTGGAGATGAGTGGGGCCGTGAGCCGCCCTTTGGTGCTCAAAAAGAGCCTTCATAAGACAGGACATCCTTTCAGAATCTACACTTCATAGTCGATAATGAATACAATCTTTCAGACTCCTGAATACGTACATTGCTGACATTCATGCATATGCGCATGTTCCAGTTAATAAGCACGATGGAAAAATCTCAAGGATACGTACAGAAGGACAGTATAGCTTTCCAGACAAAGAGAATGAATAAACTGAGCAAGGACGAGTACGAGCCGACACGAGTTCACTACAAGTAGCACTGGGTGATTAGTAAAAAACGAGAGTCCGCACTGGCTTCGCAGTTGGCATCGATAAGTACGACCTGAGTACGACGCCACTGGGAGCACGTACCTCACACTCGCCCCATACTAATCACACGTCGATTCGTACCAAAGATCTGTACCAACACTTTGAACTTGTTTGGAGACTTTCGAACATTGAACATGCCTTTCTGATAGCGTTTCTGATAATTTCGACAGTTTTGAACAGCGAGCGCAACAAGGCGCAAGATGACCACCACAAGAGAGAGCACAAGGAACGCAAGGTCATCCCACCTTGTCTTGGACTAAGCGAGACATTTGGCGCCTATGACCATCAATTGAACTTCTTATCAGCCGCCGTGACATCAAGTCTGTTACCGTAGATTCACAGATTTCGAGACTTCCGTCCCAGGTAGTAGGATAGTGAGTTCGAAGGGGTATCCGTACGCGAGACCTAAGCCGCTTGAGAGTCCAGGAATCGGAGGATCATCTGGGGAGGCCGCCGAAGGAGGCGGAAATTGAATGTTGTTATGTGTGGAAAATGGAAGGAGAGAGGAAGGGGGAAGGAGCAATGAATAAATAAATGAAAGGACAAAAGAACGTACGAAAACATAGTCGAAATAACGCTGCAGGAAATGGGGGGACATGTTTTACGAGAGAATAATTAACAATGAGCCTTTGAATACTGGAAGAATGGATATTAATCTCATGGAAATGACAAGAACATGGCTTTGCGAAGTTGCGATCTAGAACAACAAGAATAACCATACGCGCAAATTCCGCGATATTCGATCGCCACCAACCTGAATGCGGGATCGCTTGAATTTTTCTCGCTCTTTCTTTGAGGAAATTAAGAGATTAAGAGAAGAAGAGTACGCAGTATGGTCAGTTGAGTATCATGACAGAAGAGCGATAACTGAGAAATTCTTACTCGAGTCCCCTCCCTTGCACGTTTCGGACAATGTCAATCGTGTTGTTCTCGGTAAAATGTTGATCTTTGGAACCGCTTTGACCTCTTACCTCGCCTTGAGTTGACCGGGTGTGTCATGCTGTTGATCCATACAGTGTGGACGTATTCATATGAGTTCATATGTCGCGGCAGATCGTGTCTTCGAAGGGCCCGGGGTTCTTGAGGATGGATGTAAAATACCTTATCCCCGAGTGAAGGGTCGAGAATTATCGACTTGAGAAGTCGACTTTGCGCAATATGCAATGCGGGAGATGTGGGGATTCATGGGAATATGAAACTCAGTAGGAATTGGTTTACTATGACGATCCTTGGAATAACATAACTGGTTATGAGCTCTTCCACGTCTTGGTCAAGGATCATTCAATGTTGAGTATTGAAGGGAAGCGAAATTAAGAAGAAGGCGGATGGATTGGTGAGAAGAAGGGGACTTGGGAACTCGGACTTAAACTTGCTTTACATATACTCAAGCGACGACATGAAAAACTCAGAAACTCGGTGACCTGGAAGACTCGGAAATTCTTGAGATTTGACTTCCAGGACTTGAAGTGAGATTGAAACTCAATTTTCGCTAGCCAGCATAACGAATCAGCGGAGAAAGAACGTAGATAAATATACCACTGTCGGCGTAGAGTAGACTCTAGTAGCGGCGGTGGAGAGAGACAGAAGAGATAGAGAATATTAAAGCACTGTCTCGGAGGAGAAACCATGAGAGCATATGCAAGGAGACATCATGAGAGCCTATCGAGGCGGAAACATGAGAAACATGAGGACTTTATTCTTTGATTGATTGATGATGTCGAGGGAAGGGGGCGCCGAATGGAATGTTTTGCAACGTGTTCTTCGCTCGTTCCTTCGTTCAGTGTTCGAGGCTTTTTTACTGAAGGAGATAAACTTGCGTAGTTTCTTTATCAGGAGTATCATAGGTACTTAGTATATCATCTTGTAGACGATAGTTATCATACGAAATTCGAAGGAAGTATCATGTGAGAAACAGAGCGGTTTGATAGAATATAGAAGTTAAGTATGTGGAGAGGAACGACATTTCCGAATCAGAACGTGCTGTGAACTACTTTGCTGGCAATGAACGGTGCAATAATAGCGGTTGATTTTTTTTTGCGGACAGTGAATTTCGATAGAGATGATTTTATTTGGAAATAGCAGCCTGAAAAAGCGTTTTCGCATGTGCTGTTGGGTGATTGGATGCCACCAGATAGCGAATAGATATTATTAAGGTCGATCAGGACCGTTCTTGGAATAGTTCGAAGGAGTTCAAAAATTGGAAGAAATCAACAGCAACTTTGTGGGGGGTATACGTCGTTCAACGTCGACTCTTGGAAGGAACGCCTCGAGGCTTGCGGTCAAGGGTTTAGTTCCCTCATGTTCAAGTCGTCAGTCAGGGTTGGTTGAGGGGAATATCAGAAATGGATAAGCGAATCGGAATCGAGAATAGAGCTGAATAGAGTCAGTGAGTGCATTTCGGCTAACTACGGCAGGTGCCGGTTTTTAGCTTCGGAATATTCGGAAGATGCGCCCGGGAAGAGGACTCCGAGTCTCCGAAATTAATTTGAACTGTCTCTTACATACAACCACGCTGTGCTTTTGATTCCTCTTTGTTTTCTCTCTCTCTCTACTAATAATCCTCACTACCAAGTTGTTTTGAGAGGGGAGGTCTTTTGTCCAACGAAATTCGCGCTCAATACACCTTCAAACATCGACGGAAAGACCAGAGCAAAATAGTTTGCAATATTCGGGGTCGCAGCAAAACCCTCTGCCCTATACGGCTCTACGAATCTTGGTTTTTTTTTGTCGTCGATCGTGTTACAGCGCGAAAGAAACCCTGGTAGGCGACGCGCAGCAAGTTGATTTTTATCGATGGCACCAATTTTGAATCTCAAGTTTAAAGTATGTTATCTTGCAACCAATTCGTGGTTGGTCTAGTATTAACGTTTACTGCTCTTTCTTTTGTTAGGGAAACAAATCGTTCGTTGCGTTTAGCAATCTGAGTGATGTGGATGCGTTGACCAGGACTTGGAAAGTGAGCTCACTAACATTGACTGAACCTTTCGTTGAATACGGCTAACATCTCGTTACAGGTATGTACGAAAGTCGCGTCGTACCTCGAACAAGGCCAACGTCTCGAGAACCTCTCCTGGCGTCTCTGGCACCTCCAAAACCTCATGGTCGACACAGATAATGCCAAGTCTAAACGAGAGTTCAAGAAGCTCTCCAAGAACATGGGTGATAGGCTCGACAGAGAGAAAGGGAGGAATATCTCCGAGTTATCTGCTCCGGACTTCAAACATTCGCATTCCACGGATCTCATTCGACAGAAGGCAGTGGAGAGGGAGAGAAGCAGGGAGGAAGCTGCACAGGAGGACGCTGCTGCTGTCGCGAATGGCACGGGCGTCGGCGGTGTAGGAGGGCCGGGAACCAGGACGATCAAAAGGATGCAGTTTACTTTCAGTGTCAATGAGGATCAACACTCTGCGTCCTCTTCGACTGGGTTTCAACCCGGGAACGGGACAGGATCGTATCATAATTCGGATAGTGGAAGTGCCGGCTATACTGCTCAGCCGATGCATGTTGACAAACCCGATTTGAAACCTTCCGCCGAGTTTAGCGTTGGTAAAAGGGCGAGGGGTGCTGGGTTCGGTGCTGGCACCGCTTCCGTCAAACACTCTACCAATGCTGCCTCTTCTGTTTCTTCTACCTCGACTGATGCTGCTACTGTTGCTGCCAAACCTAACGATCATGCGCACGAACAAATGGATGTTTCTGGTGATGCTCAACTGACGCTGACTCAGCGCGGGAGGAAGACGAGCTCTACCTCGTCCTCTAATGCCTCCAGGAATAACACCTTCACGAACACTCGGGACGCAGGTACCCTCCCAACAACAATCCGTTTCCCGCCTCTCTTCTCTTCAGACTTTGGTCCAGCTGCGCTGTTATATCCTTCTCCTACTCTCACGACACATATGAATTACGGCGAAGATCTCGGTCTTACGTATCCTCATTCCTACGACTCCAATGACCGGAACGATTTGCATTCAAACTCAAATCCCAATTCTCAAGTCAACAATGGTGGTAGCCATTCTGATAATACCTATAGCGCATTTAACATTCCTCGACCAACGATTGAGCTTCCGCTTGATGAGTTATTGAGAGGGATGGATGGGTTTGATGGTATGGAAGGTATGGAGGGCTTGGATGGCGGAGACGACATGGATGGCCTCCTCAATCAATTTGCCCCTGGTGCTGCAGGTGGAGAGAGGTCCTGGAGACCTTGGTCTCCGGCTTTTTTCGCAACTCTATCCCAGAAGGGGTCAAGTGGCACCACGACGAATTCCACGGATACCTCGAGTCGTTCAACCAATGCTACTCAAAGTACAACAACAGCGTCGTCGTCAACTCCCCCGTTGTTCAGTACCACCTCCTTGGTTCCACCGTCCAAAAACAACAACGCTAACGATTTCTATGGGGAAGATGAAAGCCAAGACGTAGAGATGTTTGATCATTCCTCTTCCGCCTATGACCACTTGAATCATCTCTATGATGACAATCCCAATAACGAACATATCTCTTCATTTGATTACGACCTCAACTCCGCTGAACCTATCCAAATTCCCATCACAACTGTATCCGGAAACTCGTTGCATGCGCTGTTTGGGGACTCTCCCGGTGGTCGTTCGGATGGTCGTTTGTTAACTCCATTCGAGGAGACTCTGAGTTTCAGTGGTCAGCATGGTCATTTGAGTCGCCATAACAGTCACACCAGCAGCAGGAGCCATCACACCCATCTTTCCAACCACGAAGATGACGCAGAGTCCAGTGTGGACGTCGATGTTGAATCGGACAACTCAGACTCAGAGTCCGACTCTAGCGAGTCTGTCGAGTTGATGTCTTCCACGACCATGACGACGTCAAGCAGTGCTCAACGCAGTACTGAGTTCGTTTATTCCGGTGCTGGATCCATAGGGGGGGTGAAAAAGAAACTCAGTGGTATCAAGCTTACTCTGAACCCCAACAAGAGCAAGTCTCTGAGCCAGAGGAGGTCCACAACTCCTCGTCCTTCCTCTTCTACTGGAGGAGGAGGAAGAGTTGCTGCTGGTGGTCTTTCTGTCTCTAGTAAACCCAGTGCTTCATCTAGACCATACAACCGGCCTACACCTCGGGCGAACGCACGAGCTACGCCGAGACCTTCTGCACGTCAGACCCCGAGAGCTGGTGTACGGAATACTCATAATAGCAATAACACTACTCCCAGATCTAGTGCAGCTGCTTCAAGAGCTGCTTCTTCAAGGCCTGCGCTTACGGTGCGAACGTCTTCGAGTGGTGTGTCGACGAGGTCAAGTTTGCCGAGTGCGACTGCACCCCCGAGTTCGCTTGTTTCGTCGATTTCGTCGTCGTTCAGTGCTAGCGGGAGCGGCTCTGGCTCTGGCTCCGTTGGATTTGGGTTCTTGGACTCGGCTCCGGTTAGTGCGTTCAAAGTCGAGGATGAGGGACAGGGACAGAACAGTCACGTTGGGAACAACGTCACTAACAGCACTTTTTCCTCTACAACTTCTACTCCTCCTGCTTCTATTACAACTGCCGGCGCCACTCCAGCCCCTCCACCTCCATTATCAAGTACTACCCCGAGGACCACGCCTCCGACCACGACGACCACTACGTCCACCCCTGGTGCACCTGCCGGTCAGAAAGCTGAATGCTCCAACTGCGGAGCAACACATACACCGTTATGGAGAAGAGGGTTGAACGATGAGTTGAACTGTAATGCGTGTGGACTGTATTGTAAATTGGTGGGTTACTTCTTGATGAAAAACATAAACCTTTTTCTCTCCTGTATTCCCTTTCGTTGGGTTTTTACTTCAAGAACCATTCTTAATTTCTCGAAGTGCAATCTTTCAACTTTGAAAACTGATTTGTCTCCCTTGCAACAGCATAAACGTCCCCGTCCCAAAACGATGCGAAATCAGCATGGTGGAGAAGGTGGACGAGGTGGTGGTGCTGGAGGTGGAGGTAGTTTTGGAAGCGGTATTGGGGGTGGAGGTAGGGAGACTGTTGAGGTTATGGGTGAGTAGAGATTTTCTCCCGATTTGTTGCAGGAGTTTTCTTGGGTTTGAGAGTTCTCCTTGGCCGGAGGATATTATTTTTTTCTGGTTTGGGGAGTCTCAACTTATCGTCTCCATGCTTTCCAATTGTTTCTTCCTGACCATTTTCAACTTTTTTTTATGCGCTACAGCCCAATGCTACAATTGTCATACAACGGCAACGCCTTTGTGGAGAAAGGATGACGAGGGGAAGACAGTTTGTAATGCGTACGTTTCTTTGATATTCTTATTTCTCTTTTCATGCTGATGTTTGCGTTATAGTTGTGGTCTCTACTACAAACTACACGGATCCGCGCGTCCCATCAGCATGAAATCCGACGTGATAAGGAAGAGATCTAGACACGATGCGCATGCTCCACACGCGGCTCATTCGGCGGCAATCCCGGCTAACAGGAGAGGAAGTCTTTCTGGCGGAGGTTATGGCTATGGTGGTATGCACTCTTGATCATTTTTCCTGTTTTTTTGTTATCTAATGACAAACACCAGATAATATCCCTACCACTACTGACACTCAAGACCAGGCATTGGGAAGGGATAATGAATCCCCATCACCCGTTCGGGAGCCTTCCCCAGTGAACTCTGTTCATTCTGTTACCTCAGCCACGTCCTCCACCCACTCGACTCATTCTGTACATTCGCCAACCTTCGTACCGGATTCGTCTACCGCTGCTGATGTTCCTGAGTTGTCTGGGATGGGGTATGGACAGAGTGAGTTGATGGGAGTTTTTGGCTCCCCACGTAACCATAACCATAATCAAAAGTCGACGACGACGACGAATACGACAATAGAGGTTTCGCGTGGACGTGCTCGTGCTCGAGGACGTGCGGGGTCGTTGAATGCATTGACGGCACTTGATGCTTTTGGGAATGCTAAAACTGATGGTTCGAACAGTTCGAAGAATCATAGGTCGAGTCATTCCGAGGATGGGCATTTAGACCATATGGAACATTCGGATAACGATAGCATCAACAACTCGAATAACTCGAACAGCTTTAACAGCTCCAATTCCGGACACACTGACGACCGCAACAATGCCAATTCCGACCATCAGCACAACGGGGAGGATAACGCTGATCATGAGCACACGGACGATCCAAACGCTGATTATCAAAACACATTCACCCTCCCATTCCCTGGTCCGTATCATCCAGATCATTTGTCGCAGTATAGTTCGTATTATGATACGGTGGGTGGGCTGAATGGGTTTGGCGGTTTTGGTATGAATGGAATAAATGGGATGAACAATTATAGTGGGTTGAACCATTACAGCGGGTTAAATAACTTTAGTGGATTGAATGGATTCGGGTCGTTCAATAATTCGCTGGATGCGTTACCCTTCCCATCTGGTGAGCCATTTTACAAGTTCTGGTCACTGACCAAACGGTTTGCTCATACATTTATTTATCAGGTGAATATGACTCGTCTACGTCGTCTTTGACCTTCTCTCCTTCCTTGGGACCATCCATCACCTCCAATAATTCCACTTCATCCACTTCGAACTCCTCCGCCAGATCGAACTCCTCCACCACCTCTCCACCACCATCACCACCATCACCACGACGAATGAACAAACGTCGGCGAATGTCCAGTGACTCGGCGAGTGAACCACCATCTTCTGCCATTTCCTCTCTTTCGAGCTCGTATTCGTCAGCGTTCGAAATTGAGAATGGAGGGTATTCTTCTAGCGCGTCGCACTCACACTCTCATCGTTCGTCGATAAGCTCATTGAGCTCATTGAGTTCGATGAGTTCGATGAACGATTTTTCTTTCAGCGGTAATGCGTATACCGGAAATAAAGGTATACATAATAACGGATCGCGTGGATCAACGACAAATGGGGGGTATAATGAAAACAACAACAGCGAGAATCCTGGGAGTAGTGGTAACGGGAACGGTAATTCGACCCAGAACGCCTTTTGGCATCCGCCGATGTTGTTGCAGGAGCATCAATACCATGCCCTCAACTCCCAGAATGGTCAGAATTATAATGGACATGGTTCGCACTCTGGGCGTTCTCATTCTGGACACTCAGGGCATTCTGGACATAACGGGCACTCATCGCACTCTCAGAACGGCCTGAACCAGCACACCCCCATGAGCAGCTTCACGAACGCGTTCAACAACTACAATGCATTCAGTAGCAATCATCATGCGTTCCACCCGCCTATGCTTCTTCCCAGTACCGTGACTAGTACAGAGGATTCCCCAATGGACTACCTTCACCCTCCGATGATGCTCGCGGATGACGTAGATGAAGCGACATTGTTCTCGACGTATTTGCATCCGCCGATGAGTTTACCTGAGGACTCTGGTTCTCTATCATCGGGGATTCGCGCAAATCGGGAGACAACTGGGTCTGGGAATGTAAACAGTGAAGGGAACGCGAATGGAAATAGGAGCAGTAACGATCTCGGGGCTAACGACGCTTCCGCAAAGGGCGTATCGGTTTCTGATATGAACTCGAAAGCAGTAAAAGTTGAGGGTTCGGACTTGGATTCAGGCAAGACTAACGCCAACAATAATCGCTACTACGGGATGGACATGCGGATTTATTGAGTGTGCTTACTCTGGGGAACTGGGCGTTGATTATGGATACGGACCGGTATTCGTCAACTTCCCGCTCTTCCTCGACCTCATGTTCTGCATTGCTGTCTTGTTCGCCATCGCATTGGTTCAAGTGTTCTATCTATCTTTTCTACTCATTCTATTCAACGCATCGTCATGATAACTCTTCGACACACCCCCTTCCATTCGAATGTATACATCAGAAGCCACCATCTCGATCCTCAATTTCTTCGGACCCTATTATAATCTTCTTTGCCTGTCGGAATCGCTTCGAGGTTCACCTTATGCCCTATGCCCGCAACTGTCAGTTGCAAGGAGGCAGTATCGTATTCTCATCCATCACGGTTAAACCTATTCTCGTCCCGGATCTTGTTTTTCAAGCCTGTAATTCCACTGTCCCAAAGCTCGTATTTCGGTTTTACGGATCTTCCTCAGTCGTTCCTTCTATCTCTCGACTTCGGTCCGGGGTCCCTCAGTGATGTGGTGCGTTGGTCGAATTGTGTTTAATATTTATCCGATATACTGACTTTTCCTCCCTCGCGTTGTCCCTCTTCCTTGCTATCTTTGCTTGCTGTCTGATCAAAATACCTCCTTTCATGGGTCAATAACATATAGGTACCTTGTCTTGTTGTATGTTCTGTTACAGCATCTGGTCTCAACATTCTTCATGCTTTTACATCTTTTCATCTCACCGCTTCACGTTCTCGCATTTTTACTTTCAATTTTAGATGCGGTTCTTCTGTCATCCATCATCTAGCATGCACATAGCCCATCTCGTTCCTCCGTGTTCATGCCGATGCTTCCTCATTGCATTGCTCTCTTGTCTCTTGTTTGTACAGTGACATTCCTCATTGGATCGCCTCATACATTGTCTTTTCCCGCTCACTTAATACCCCCATTTTTACATGTTTCCATGCCCCTTCAGAATCTACTCTGTCTTGCTGAACTGGGCAATGCTTGCTCTCTACATGCTCCATGGACGTTCAACCATCCATATTTCCTGTTCACATTGATATATCCAGTCATCGTTCTTCATAACCCCCAAAAGAACTCAATTGCATCTAGTCATGACCGTTTTTCTGTTGTTGTTGTATCTATCTTTACCCCAAACGCACATTCCGACGTTTTTCTAACCACAAAGAACAAACTATGAATACTGAAATCATTCTCACATTCTTCATTGTACACCCGCGCTCTCCTCCTCATCTCCTTGTCGCGTCGTCGTCCTCAAAATCCCTACAATTTGCGATTTTACATATACGAGTATTGATTACTCTATCCTTCATCTGTCTTTACTACATATACTATATACATAGCGAAGGGCATCCGCTTCTTGAGCCCCACAATGAATGTTAGCTATTATCTCGCCGTCCAAACAATCTCTGCGTTTGAAACTCACTGAACGGGAACGCTATAGCCTAGTAGTAGTCTTGCGTAATCCACGTGCGCGAAGAGCCGATAAATTATCACAACGCGTCATAAATAATAACCCCAAACTTCTACCATCTACTATTATGCCCGTCCATACGAATAAACCAGGCTACTTTGGTAAAGGCTCCGTTGAAATTGGGCCAGCAGCGGGACCCGGGGAAGGTCCAATTCGACGTATAGCAATATCTTCAGAAAGCCTTATAACACAGCCGTTTGAAGGTATCAAGACTGTATACGACGTCCTCGAATATGCTGCCCGTACACATGGAACACGGAGAGCTCTTGGCTGGCGTGATATTGTGGATATTCATGAAGAGGAGAAGGAAGTCAAGAAAGTTGTAGGTGGAAAAGAAGTCACAGAGAAGAAGAAGTGGAAATACTTTCAGCTCAGCGACTACAAGTATATCAACTTTATCGAGCTCAAGGATGCTGTTTCAGAAATCGCGAGGGGTTTAGTTGAAATTGGCGTTACTTCAGATGATGTATTCAACATATTCTCCCAAACGAGGTCGGTCGAGCAAACGTTCTATGCGCTGTGCCTTCCATCAATCAATCTTTTACAGTGTCAACTGGCAACTAATGGCTAATGCTTGTGGTTCAATCTCAACGACCATAGCTACAGCCTACGATACCCTTGGTGAATCTGGGTTGACGCATTCATTAAATGAACCAGAGTGTGTAGGTCTCTTTACCAACGCAGAACTTCTCCCGACGCTCTACAAAGTTCTCGCCAATACACCGTCAATCAAATTCGTCGTTTACGACGGCGAACCCTCCGAAAACCTCGTTGGAGACATCAACGCGGTTCGCGAATCCATCCAGGTCTTTTCCATCGACGAAATTCGAGAACTGGGCAAATCAAAACCCACGGAACCTCTTAGAGCTCGCCTTCCAAAACCAGAGACGATGGCTTGTATAATGTACACTAGTGGCTCTACTGGACCACCGAAGGGTGTTTGTATCACTCATGCCAACCTGGTGGCATCTATCGGTGCTGTATATAAGCTCCTTGGCCACCACCTCACCTACGACGACACGTATCTCGCTTATCTCCCTCTCGCTCATGTTCTCGAGTACATCGTAGAGCTCATCATGCTCTTTGTTGGCATGACCTCTGGCTACGGTCGCGTCAAGACCCTTACCGACGCCTCTGTGCGCCAGTGTAAAGGAGACCTGGCCGCATTCCAGCCGAGTATCATGGTCGGTGTCCCTGCTGTCTGGGAGACGATCCGGAAGGGAATTGTCGCCAAAGTTAATGCTGGAGGAACGGTCAGAAAAAGCGTCTTCAATGGTGCGATGTCATTGAAGAAGAACGGTGTTCCTGTATTGTCACAAGTGGCGGACAGTGTTGTGCTCAAAAATGTGCGGGCGGCGACAGGAGGCAGACTACGAATCACTTTATCTGGTGGTGCTGCTCTCAGCCACGAGACGCAGAAGTTCCTAGATACTGCATTGGTAATGATCTTACAAGGTAATGCTCATGTAACTCTTTCTCTTCGTCCGCACTCTTTCACTCATTGGCGTTCGTTTGTTTCTGTCCCAAAAAGGGTACGGGATGACTGAATCCTGTGGAATGTGTGCGATCCTACCTCCGGAAATGATGCGTTACAGCAGTGTCGGTCTTCCGGTTCCTTCGATAGAGATCAAGTTACTGGACGTCAAGGAGGCTGGATATTTATCAACAAACAAACCTCCCCAGGGTGAAGTTTGCATTCGGGGTCCTTCGGTTACCAAGGGATATTATAAGCGACCGGATCTGAATAATGACGAGACAATTTTCACGAAAGACGGCTGGTTAAGGACAGGTGATGTTGGTCAGTGGAATGAAGATGGAACGTTGAGCTTGATTGACCGGTGAGTTCTGTTTGAATTTCACCTTGGTAACGAGGGCCTCATGATCTTTACAGGGTGAAGAACCTAATCAAGCTTCAAGGTGGCGAGGTGCGTTCCGCAATCTGATATTGTTTCGCTCATTCTCACTGTGATCCAGTATATTGCCCTCGAACGACTAGAATCGACGTATAAAGCATGCAATTACGTCGGCAACATTTGTGTACACGCGACTCCTGATGCCAAGCAACCTATCGCTATCATCATCCCGCACGAAGTACACCTGCGACACGCACTACAGAACATATCTGGTACGTCCTTTATTTCTTGCTACGACAATTGGGCTTTAATTAACTCCTCTTGGTTTCTTCCCTCACGTTTTCTTTGTCCTTGTCTTCTCTGTTTCCTCACCATTCTAGGTGTCGACTCTTCACGATCACTCCCTGAGCTTTGTCACGATCCCAAAGTGGCTGAGCTTGTACTGAAAGAGTGTAATGCTATTGGGAAGAAGAATGGATTTAAGCCTATGGAAATTCTTCAGGCTGTCATTCTCACGCCAGAAGAATGGACACCGGAGAACGGATTGGTGACGGCTGCGCAGAAGATTCAGAGGAACAAGATCGCGAAAGAGTTTGCTCAGGAGATCGAGGTGTGTTTGGCTCCTATCTTTCCTCCTTACCTCCCACTTCCAGGCTAACTGATTCCCTCCTACGTTTCGTGGTTATACAGCAAGTTTACAAGGAGTAGTGATTCAAGGTTTGGTGATATTCTAGACGTGCTTATATCAGGTCAACTCCCTTGGTTTCCGATTTTTCAACGTTGGACCTTCTTCTCAACTATCTCAATGAGGGTATGGCTTAAACCTTTATTATTGTCATACCTGTATCACTTGTATAATATATAAACCTTTGCAACGGGTGCGTCTCTTTTCCACCCACAATGATATAGCCATGAGGAATATAACTTGTGAGTGTATCACTGGCCGGATGTGCAGGTTAGTGCACCTGCCCATTGTCGATGCACTCGATCCTGGGAGCGAAGGTTGAAATGACTGACCGCGGAATGGCCCGACCACTACTATCACTGTATTATCGTGACTTAACATCCCTCTTCTATTGATGACACCTAAGTTTAGGCTTTCGCATCTAAATCCTCATTCAAAACTTCAGTAACTTCTGCACCCTCGACAACTTCTTCGATTCCTTTTCCACTTGCCTCCATCTCAGCTTTGAGCCTGCGAAAGTTCTTTTCCTCGGCCCAAACAAAGGGACTTTTGCTGGCAAATAATAAGTCCATCTCTTCCAGTGTTCGATTAGCTAGAGGGGAATTGTCAACAGACTGTCCTATCGACATACAGAAATTGACATACCAGTTTCTGGGTACAGTGCCCATACCATAGGAATTGTCAAGAAGTTAACGGCTCCAAATATATGTAGAGTGCTATTGTAAACTGAGCCTAGGGAACACAGGTCACTGAACCAATAGAAACACACTTTTCCCCGATCTTGTTGAACATGATGGGGTTCAGGAGCGTGAGCCAGCCGTTTCCGATGCTCCAACCAACGACGCCCCAAGCATTGCCTTTAGCACGCACTTCAAGTGGATAAATCTGGAGGAACGTAGCAGGTTAAGCCGTGGGGGAGTTGCGAATGATCAATGAAGTGAGAACTACGTACCTCGGTAGGATATACCCAGGGAATAGCAAGCCAGGTAGCGCCAAATATTGCTGTATACAGAAAGACAAAGAAGGCGGCCGCGCCACCATACTGCGCCGCTTTTTCAGGATTATCTTTTAACAGACGAGCGAAGGCTCCGGCAAGGATCTGCGAGTAGAGACTTTTTCAGCATAATACAGGTCACAGAGGAAGGGTCACAGAGGATGAAAAATTCCACGTACCAAGGCTATACCTTGCCCAATGGCTCCCCACCATAATCCAACTCGACGGCCCCACTTATCAATAAGGAGAACATTCCATAATGTAGCAATCATGTAGGTGACCTGTTAGGGATGGATAAGCTTGAAGAGCGGTAGGAGGTGAGCTGAGACTGCATACGTCATTCAACCCGGATAACCACTGTGCTTTCCTAGCACCATATCCAGCTTCGGCAAAGATAGTAGGTGCATATACAGTGATAGCAGCTATACCTACCCATCTAATACATGTATCAGTGGTAACTTGCGAGTAAACGCTTCTGAACACGTACTCCTGAACAATTTGCAACCAGATCGATAGCTGAACTCTCCTAGCGATATGTAAATCCCCTGAACCAATACCCCAGAACATATTCCAATAATTGTTCATCTTCGCGTGTTTCTTCTCGAGCGAGATAACTTGCAGGATATCGTTCAGCTCCTGATCCGCGACGTGGTGAAGCTTCTCATCTGACGAATTGTCGTGATCGTCTGTTGATCGTAAGCGGTGCAATATTTTTCTAGCATCTTCAACACGACCGATTTTGGCGAGATATCTCGGGGACTCAGGCATCCAGAGCAAAGAGACCTATCAGTAAAAGCTTATTCAGCACTGCTTGTAAATGCGGCAAACATGGTGTGGAGACGTACCATAAACATTATCACAGGTATGATCTGAAAGGCGATAGGAAATCTCCATCTGACCTGCGAACGACCGTCGCCGACAAAGCCAAGGCCGAACTCTAACCAGTAAGCCACAACGACACCCAAAATATTGAGGGTAAATTCTAAGGATATGAAGGCGCCTGTGGATGTAGAAAATGAGGGAAGCTCAGCATGTCAATGATGATATGGCACGGACCTCTTGATGTGTGAGTGGCCACCTCCGCACTCCAGACGGGAACGATAGCATTGAGAAATCCTGTTCCGATACCGTTTATCACTCGTGCACAGAGCATCCTGATAATATTGGTCAAAATTTACCCTGTCCTGTGTGAGAATGCCACAAGAACTTACCATGCTATATTCTGCGCAGAACACTGAAGCGCAGCGCCAAACATGATCCAAAGGCAACCAATGTACATTGTTTTGATGCGCCCCATCCTATCACCTAGACTGCCCGCTAGAACACATCCGATGAGGGTACCAAAGTAGTAGACTGAGAAAACAATGATCAAAGAAAGTGAGACAGGTCTAAGAAGAAAAGCATACTGCTAACGATTCCACCTTGCTTGGTGGGTTCAGTAATGTTAACAACATATCCTTCAGAAGGTCCTTCGTACGAAGAAGTTCCCAAACCCATGACACGAACATAGTCTGGAGAGGTGTTCACTCCTCCCATCATCCCTTGATCATAACCGAAGCTGTGAGCAAGTTAAATTGACCACAGTTGTAGTTTAGTAGAAAGATGACCCTGACAAGAATATAGCAAGGCCAGCGGAAAAGTTTATCCATCGATACAGTCTCCTTCCAGAAAGGAAGTTGGACATGACTGAATCTTCGCGGACTTCAGCTATGAGCGTCGAAAGAAGTTTTTGGTGGGGTTTTTAAGGCATCGATAAGCTTCCCTTTATACAGATTCTCGGCTACGCGGTGGTCATGAGAGCTCGACTCAGTAGAAAGCACTGAAGAACGAAATGCGGGAACGGCCCGAAGATCTTTTTTGAGGATTCGGGCCGCTTTGAGTCCTGACCTAGAGAACAATAACCGAGGTAGCGGCGGCAAGCGGCATTGCCAGCTGCTGTCAAGATGAAATGTAAGTCGTCATTTTCTACAATCACTTCTACAAGACTTAAGAATAAAACAGAATATAATACAAACATATCTCAACTCAAATATACAATCAACTGCGCAAACTATCAAATCATGATTCATGCCATTTTCCAAGCATCGAAAAAATCCATGTGTATTGTCCAACATTAACTATAGAAATGTCTGGACATTGAACCAAAAACCCATGACCAAACAAAAGCACTGTTGCTAATGAAATGCAGTTTAAAGTTCATTTTGAGTGAATGTAAGATTTTAAAAAGACCTAAAAAGACCCATTAAGAATACTCACAGGATTTTTAGGCAGACTTTTCCACTCTAGACATTACTTTTTGACTGAAGATACCCTTTCAAACAATGTCTGTGCGGAATAACTGGACGGTATTGTCTTTGTTTGTGAGGCAAGGTTAGTCTGCAATTGTAAGAAACATGAGGAAGAGAAAGTGCACTATGTGTGACTGCAGATGAACGTTAACATGTGGTATTATATAATAATCTCCTTATGTGGTTCATAATGGATGATTGTGCAAGAAATCCTAGTTCCTGAATCAAAGTGCTACAACACCCACTAGCTAAAGGTAGCAGAAATAAGAAGTGAAAATGATTGAAAGAAACAAAGGAAAATGGAATAACATGTCAATTGTAAACCTGTATGGTGATGTCGCATGTGATGGCAGGCTCAACAACCAGTTGGTGTAAGACCTGGGTCAAAATGGGTCTTAGGGTAGGTTTGGTATATGAAGTTTTATGTTGTAGCGTGCTAGGAGCAGGCTGGAGCTCGAAGGGAGCTACGAGAACCGCGACCGAGGACGGGAATGACCTAGTAGTGCCTGGAACGACGAGATGATGACCCTTGAGGGGGTTCCTAGGAGGTCCAGGGAGGTCCCTAAGGCGTAGGGAGGTTAAGGAAGAGTGCGGGACCGTACAGTATTGCGTAGTAGGAGTTGTACTCGCTAGAACGTCAATATAGGATCGAGTAGGTCGTATATGCAACTGGGTCTCGAGAGTGTAAGCTCCCGAGAAGGGATATGTCAGGGAGGGTAGGTCCCTGGGGGCTGAGCTTGAGGATGGTTGTCCTCGAGTGTGGGAGGTGGTAACGGAGAAGCAATACGTAGTCCGATGTGAGGGGTAGCTTCGACGTTACCTGGATCGAGGTCCTGAAGCTTACGAAGTAGCTAGGGAGCTCTGGGAGGTTTGGGGAAGGGTAGCTCACCAAGGCGGGTAGGCGTTGGGGAGCTTTAGTAATGTTCGAGGGAGCTCGGGGACTCACTCGGAAGGCTTAGACTTGAAGTGAAAGCGTATATTCGATCGTATAGATGATCAGAGAGACAATAGACAGAAGTAGAGAGAAACAGAGGTAGAGAAACAGAGAGTAAAGAGAAATCCGTATGGTTAGCAGGTACAAAGGGACAGGGACTGGACCTATGCAAAAGGGTGTGTGTTCAAAATATACCAAGCTGGGCTTCTGAACGCTCCTGGACTGATTAAATACGTATGGGGAAGTTAACAAGGAGACATGGTATGAAGCGAGCACTTAATGGGGATTCTAAGTACATGAGGATGGAATGATGGACGCATGTACGGGGTTCCAGGACCCTGTCGTGGAATGATTCGGTTGAATGGAGGGGAGCTAAGGGTCGCGGAGGTGGTTCTAGCGGTAAGGAGGTCTGTGGGACGTTTGAAGTGTTCTCAGGGATTCATGGAAGGGGTCTGAGGAGATCGGGAGCTATGCTAGAGAGCTTATGGGCTAAGGAATTCGGGGTGAGGCATGACATTACCCCCCCCTCTACTCCTCCGAGCCTCCGAGGAGGTTCCTGTTGCCGTCATGTGCTTTCCACGTGACTCGACTTTTTCTGTTTATAAGTTCGTTTCCCGTTGTTCCTTATCCCTTTCCGCATTTCTTCATCGTTCTCCAGGTTGAACTCGATTACTATGAGCTCTTCTTCTTCCAACGCCATTACTGGAGCTCCCAACCCTGTCTTGCCACCAGTATCTTCTCCGCCCCACCCCGATCTCGCGGAAAGAGTCATAGATGCCGCTATCGATGAACTGGCTAGTACCCTTGAGGAGCCTCCTCTAGGTCAGCTGGCCCTGTTTAAGTCCGTTTTCGGCGTAGGTGTGTCATTGGCAAGGTATATCGTCGACGATCCCCTTTGGCCATTGCTAGCGGCTGCCGGTCTCCCTTGCTCCTTCTGTGTTAGAGGCAAGAAGGAGGCCAACTGTTCTGTAGTTCCCCACCTTGCTCGTTGCAGTAACTGCGACGATAAGAAACCTTGCGTTCTGGGTAGGCTTGCCCGTTTCCGTTACTTTTCGCGTAAGTGTTCTCGCGATTTAGCGTTTGCTCGAAGGTTTTTGGAGGTGCATGGGGACCCGGGTCAGCGAACCCGTTTCGCTCTCCCTTCCGAGCAGTGGAGGGACATTGCGGCGAAGGTCGAGGCCAGTACCAACTCCACTGTCGCCTTGATGGAGCTAAATGCCTTGGACGAGCAAGATCAGCGGGAGCTGGACCGTTTAGAGCTCGGAGAGTTCCGTCGCCAGCAGCCTCAGCTTCCCCGACCTTTAACCACCAGCTCCTTGCCTTCTCCACTTCCTTCCGTTGTGCCGTCTCCACGCACATTGGCGAAAAAGAGAAAAAGGTCTGTCCGGCAGGAGGAGGGAGGTCCTTCCTCTCACAAGCGTGCCGTTGGAGCAGCTCCGGGTTCTGAGGTATCTCCCGAGGTTCACGACCGCAAACGTAAGCGTTCTGCTGGGGAGAGTCGGGATGCTGAGGTCCCAGACTACCGTAGGGTGGTGCTGGTTCTTCGCCCCCCCCTTGTCGATACCTCTGGTTCGGCCCCTTTGTCTGGTGGTCATGCCGAGGAGGACGTGCCCTCTTCTCCTCCTTTGGGGAAAACAGGGAGTACAGGGGTTCCTCCTTCATTATCTCAGGATCGCTCTTCCGGTCTTCCTGTTTGTCAAAGAGCCAATTCGCCTGGTTCGTCTAACCAGTTTATTCCCCCGGTGCTGTCGGAACGTCGGCCAGTGGTGACCAAACAAACTCCCCCTCCTTCTCAAGTGAGTTTTCTTCCTTTCTACTCTCGTAACTTATGTCTTATGCCTGTACCCCAGCGTTCCCCCGATGTTCTCCACCCATTTCCCCGAGCTCGAGCCACTGCTGCTTTAAGGGCTGAAAATGAAACTTTACGAGCCGAGGTAGCCGACCTCCGCAAGCTTCTGGAGACTTCCCGGGCTGAGACCTCGACGCTCACCTCCCTCCTTCGGGACACTACAACTTCTTTGGACGATCGTAACAAGGACCTAGAGGCGAGTCGTCGTGCCCTGCACCATGTCGCAGCGGATCGTCTGGAGTACTCCCGTGTTCTGGCTCAGTTTAGGGCCATTGAAGCTGAACTGCCGGAAGCTCCCTTGGAGGTAGAAGTTGTTCCCCTTCTTCTCTCTTATTTTCTACTGACTGGTAACTCTTGACCCCAGGACACGCTTACACAGTTTCATCTTGCGGTTGCGCAAGTAGATTCCTATAGGGAAGTGGCCATAAGGCAGAAGCAGGAGCTTTCGGAGCTTCGAGAACAAGTCGACAAGGAACAGAAGCTGGATGACGCCGAGGATTTGTACGAGTCGCAGGAGGAGTTCCTGGCGAGGACCGGTGGGGCAGTGACAGTTAAGCAGGAGAATACCGAGTCTGAAGTAGTGTAGACCCCCTCGATTGTTGTATGTATGTACACCCAATGTAAGATTGTTGATTTCGTTACTTCCGTTTAGGTCTGAGGTCTTGGGGAACTGTCGGGTATGAGGAAAAGTGGCGCAACTAAGTAGAATTGTACCCCCTCGTGCCTCCCTTTCCCAAATGGAGGTACCTGACAAGGGTGGTTTGTCGATGCAGGGTCTTGGAAACTGTTGCGGGAGCACACTTTGGTTTGGTTCACCAGTCGTTTCTTCCCCTTCTATAAAAGGGTGCCGGGCAGGCCCTCCTTTCCTTCACTATGCCTCCCTCTCCCCGTCCCCCCTTGGTACCTTGCACTTTCAATGATCACCCTTATCGTGCTGAAAATCAGCGCCTCGTTGCTCGGATTCGTTTGTTGGAGTCTCAGCTCGCTACCTCGCAGCGGGAGAATTCCTCCCTTACCTCCGCCCTTCGGAATACCTCGCTTGCTCTCGAATCTCGACAACGGGAGGTGGAGCAGCTCCGGTCCTCTGGTCATGAAGTAGTAGAGCGTGAAATGGAGGACCGCCGAGTTTTGGATCAGTTCCCTGCCTTGGATGAGGCCCTATCAGGGGCTCTGGATCAAGTGAGTACTTTGGTTTTCCCCCGTTTTCCTCCCCTGTTTAGTCCTTCCTTTCAGAGCCTCTCGGAAAGTTTCCGGAAGGTGCAGGAAGACCTTCAAAATGCCACCAGGGAGCGGAGAGTCGCTGTGGAGAAACTAATCGCCTCTACTCGCAAGAATTCACGGTTGACGACCACCCTACTGTACCAACAAGGTCTTGTGGATGAATCGAATGCTTTGGCAACACGTCAACGTCGTTTTGTGGAGGAGTTGCAGGAGGAGGTCCATCGGGTCCGCGGTCGTGCCGTCTTCGTCGAGCAAATGCTCAAGGAGTACCCTGACGAGGGTTACTACGAGGTCGTTTTGCCTCCTCTTTCGCAACTTGAAGGGGACCTTAACCAGGCTCGTGAGGACCTCCGCCGTGTAGCTACCTTCGCTCATCGCCTTTATCGTTGTGA